GAGAGAATTCAAAGCCTCTGCTGTGTTACAACAAACTCACCTAGAAACAAGCTTTGTAGGTTAAAAGATCCTATCGATGCCACTAAGCAAAATAATCTGGTTTTCCAAATCCCTCGCAATGATCGTGAGGTCAAGTACATAGGTCATAGCAGTCGACCAGGGTTGATTAGAATAACAGAGCACAAAAACTTAGCTAAATCAAGATCAGTAGATCCTAATAAGATAAGAAATCTAGAGAAAAACTCGGGTATAGCTCTGCATGCGATGACACACAATCACACAGTAGGGTAGGATAGGGCGACAGTGTTGAAAACATATATATATATATATATATATATATATATATATATATATATATATATATATATATATATAAAGCTATTTGTATTAGAGTAAAGCCTGAAGAGGATCTAATTGAAAACAATATTGTTCCCTTATATGTCTTGTTCTAATTAATATGATATGAAGTTTTAAAACTCTGATGTATTTAACAACTCATAATTGAATATTTGGTTAATTGTACTGATTTCAAATTTTTCTCAGCTTGTTGGTCAGTACAACATCCTGCTATATACTTCGCGTTATCTCCTAATATTTACACTGTCTGACACAGGTGGATCACTAGTCTTGGGGATAATAAGTAGGCGATAGTGTGTCGGGAGGCGTATATAAATTTTGAGTTAGATAGCAGAGCTCAACAAGCCCTCCATTTGCAACCTCGTACAACCGAACACAAAGTTTGCAGCTGATTTTCCGTATATTATGACAATCGGAATTATCTTCAGATACACAATTACATTACATGACGATAACGTTGCACAATTTATAAAAATTGAAACAAGGATTTTCATGTACACGAAATGAGATAGTACACAACAATCGGTATCAGTCAATATGCACTTCCATTTTGAACCATAAGGCATAAAGAAATGAATGAGGAGTTGATCGGAAGCTCTTAAACCGAGCTATACATTAATGTTACTAAGTAAGTCATAAGTGGGATACATTTTAATAAAAGCAAAATAATACGACTGATATTAGTTTCCTAGGTTTCGTTTTTTCCACCTTTTAGAACAAGGGTTAGCATTTAACAGTTTATATTCAGTCAGCTACACGAGATGTTTCGTGAGGATGTTATACCAAAATAAATGGGGTTGTAATTTCAAGAAAAGCCGCAACTAGAATTTCAACTAATCGAACAGTGTCTTACATTGATTAAGTACAAGAGTAACCAATTTCATGTTGTCTAGTCCTGATTGTTAACTAAATTCTATCAGTCATTTTGCCCAATATGGCCATCAAGCTAGGAGGTTCGACATCGTGGGGCACACTGATAGATGTTAGTTGGTTGAAGGCAGTCAGCAAGAATCCCTGAACTTAGTTTTCGTGCTTGTTGATACACGTCAGTAAGGCGTATCTGCGACAGTGTCTACGCAATGATGGTTATCCGATGAAATTTGTTCAGAAGTACCGCAAAGACAAGGTAAAGAGGAATGGTATAGCAATGGTGAAAAATCCCAATGATTCTGAATTTGACTCTCAAGAGCAGCGATATTGTGATAAGAATCACCCTTCGAATTCGGAGTGGACTATCTAGAACCTATCCAGCTGTTACACTTGTCTGACTGTAATAAACAACACGTGGAATTACTCAATTCAAATTAGACGAAGTTCCAACTCTTGTTGACTTCAAGTGTATTTATCATTTCACATGTAGAAGCAGAAGCAAACATGCAGAAATAACAGATAGGAGAATGTTTATCAAGATTACCGAGCACATGTCAAAGAGTCTACATCTCATAAGCCCGTCCTCATTCAACCGTGAAATAGCTGGTCATTTGTATGATACGGGACATCAAGTAGATGCAATGAAATCCTTCATTATAGTCAATAGAAAAGGGAACTCATGTCTATTTTGAATTGCCGAAACTATCACTATCCAACAACTTAAATCTGAACTGTGTATTAAAAAAGAGAAAACTACTACTTTATCATTGCCCGGGTAATCAGTGACTTTTCAACTACTCACCTTTCCTAAAATAATTTTAATACATTTATTTTACTACTATTTATTAATATGTTTTAAATTCTCCTTTGTTATGCTGGATCAAATTATTCGACCTCTGTTGGCATATAGGCACCTACACAGATGCCTTGATACTGTCTGAATATTTATTGTGATAATTTACTTGATTGTGGCTAGCAGAGGAATCCACAGTAAATACTCAGGCATCCGCATTGGAGACCATATGCCAACAGAGGTCAAACAATTTGACTCAGTATAACAATGGTGGATTACAATCATATCAACGAGTAGTTATAACTAATACTCATTGTACAAGAGGTGGTCATCGTACTTCAGTAGCCTAGTGGATGACGCTTTAGCTTCTGAAGCGATGGGTACGAGGTTCGAGTTTCAGTGGGGATAACATCACTCACTGGGATGCATTCAACTGACGAGTCCCAAATAGGACGAAACGCACGTCCTGGATTTGTCTGATAGCCACAACCAAGTAGAATCCTTACCGTTTCTTACATAACATTTAACTGGTTTGACTACATTTATAACTTAAACCTTATTCTTGTTTCCTGCTTGTTGAATCATCAACCGGTATCCTAAAACGCTTCATCTAAGTAAAATATGATTAAAGTTTTGTTGTAGTGATTATAAACTTATTTATTTAGATTGTATGCAGCTGACTAAAATCCTGTGAAATAAAGTGATTTCATCTTCTTCTGAAAACTGTGTTCTCATTGAATTTTCCAACTACTTGAGTCGTTAGAGTGTAAGGTGTTCCACCGTGCTTTAGTGACTAATTCTTAGTCATTCAGGCAACATGGAATGAATTTATAGTAATGATGGGTAGCAGCTAGCAGTGGAATGCAGGATACGCACCTTGTCCTATTTGAGACTCGTCAGCTGGATTTACATGCCTTCCAGTGAGTGGTGTTGTCTCCACCGGGACTCGGACTTGGGAGCGATCGCTTCAGACGCGGAAGCGTTTTCCGCTACACCACCGGGCCACAATAGCCACTTCTTGTGCGATGGGTATAGTTTTAGTGTTATTACTTGTATTACACCGTCGTTGATTGAACCGAATTGGTCAGTCTCTGTTGGCATATGGGCTCCTATGCGGATGTCTCGATATTGCCTGTTTTAATTATGTATAGTAATGATGGGCAGTGGCTAGCAGTGGAATCCAGGATGCCCATTTCGTCCTATTTGGGACTCGTCAGCTGGATGTGCTTGCTTCCCAGTAAATGATGTTGTTCCCACCAGTATTCGGACTCGGGGGCGGTCGGTTCAAACACCAGAGCGTTATCCACTACATCCAGCTGACGAGTCCCAAATAGGACGAAATACGCATCCTGGATTCCACTACTAGCCACGATCCATCATTTATAAAATGAATTTAGTTTAGAAATCAATACTGAATGTACATTAAACTTTTAATAAAACATGAGTTCGATCCCATTTATGAGGTTTGTTACAGATTTATCTAGTGATTTTAGGTTGGGGTTTATCATGGGTCGAGATTTCTTAGGGAAGTATTGGAAACCCACTAGCATTGGACACCTTTTTCTTCCTAGGATGGGACTGCACAGCAGTGCTCATCTATAACCCCGTCACGCCGAAGATCTAACGCAGGAGCTTCAGGTTCCGAGGCCGGAAAGTTACCATTGGTTTTTGATCCGCAGGGCTAATCAAGTCGATCATGAGGGGAGTTACTCAACAACGGCATTGGATTGAGGCCGCGCTTTATCATCTGGAGGTTTGTGAACATTGATTTGTTGATTTTGAGTTTGAATTCATCATGGAATGAGATCATTTGGAGAACACTGGAAACCTTTGAGTACTCAGCACCTATTTTGTCTTAGTATGAGACTCCTCAGCAGTGTGCACCCATGAGCCCACTACTTCAGTGATCGAACCAATGATCTTCAGGCTGCGTGGCCAGCACATTACCACTGAACCACTGGGTCGGAATCTAATGGCCCATATTTCCTACTTCTGTCAGTTCTCGATGTAGAGCGACCTACATCTTAACATCGATTAATAAATCTCCAAAACCTCCAGATAGAATTAATCTAGTGCTTATTGGTAACTAGTTTCTAGAGGTGATTCCTGAAGTGCCAATTGGAAGTTGTGACCAGTAGAACCAACCAAGTCGAATATGAGGAGAGTTACTCAACGACAACATTGGATGTAGGTCACGCTATGTCATGAAATGACAGAAGTGGAAAATATTTACTATTAAATTCCTATCCACCGGCTCAATGGTAGTGTGCTGGTCATGGAACCCGAAGATCTTGGGTTCAGTTCATCTTGGAGCGAGGTCATGGGTGCGTACCGCCAAGGAGTCCTGTACTACGACAAAATAGCTGTTCAGTGGTTCGAGGTTTCCAATGTTCCTGAAATCAACCAATAAATCTCCACAAACCCCCAGATAGAACTAACCAAACTTGGTTTCTTTGTGAGTTGAGGTGCACCAGTGACATTTTTCGCTATCTAGCATTTGAAGTTGGTATTCATCGTAGACTGACATCGGTTTGAGGAACAGTTGAAACCTGGGAGCACTGGACGACTGTTTCGTTCTAGTATAGGACTCCTCAGCAGCGCGCACCCGCGAACCCACCAGGGATCGAATTCGCGACCTTCAGGTTCCATGACCAACACGTTACCATTGAACCAGTGGGTTGGAATACGTTAGTCCATATTTTTTTAGTTATGCAAAGTAATCTCTCCTTTATTTACGCTCAAAAACATCTGAAAGACATTTACTATTAAAGTTCAATAGTCTTAACTGTGTTGTGTTCAATGATGTTGTCTGGAAAGACAATGAAAGCTTTACGATTAAACCACTCACCTCAGAGAACACAAAACAACCAAGATCATCCATCTGAGCTACAAATATTCCTCAACAATTCAAAGTTCAATAGTGTTTTGTAACTGAGAAAAAACTCAACTTATAGACAATAAAAGTAAAACAATTATATATTTAAACCCAACCATCTTTATAATCTTGATTTTTTAAACTATGATAAACTGAACAACAACCATAATGTTGTTTTAAACAATCATTTTCATTAAAAGTTGAATAACATATACTTCCTATTGTATAATTTCCTTCAGTCTTATAATTGATTTCATCATTAATCAGATGATTTTGCTGAAATGACTCATTTTGTACTTTTTGTTTCAAGTGTTCTGTTGACATTTTAATTTGATTACATGATGTGTTTAAAGTGGATTCACTGATACGTCTTGATAATTCAATGCTTTGTGGTTTTATACATAATGATGTCATAACGTGGGGTGGATGTTTTTGGCATTCATGTTGCAGCTGCTGCTGATGGCTGTGATAAGTATGACATTGCTTGTGACATGAAAGACATATCGTTCTACAGTGTAATGGATCACAGTCACTAGATAGTGAACAATCATTTTGTGAACAAGGGGGACAAACCACTGAACTTGTCAATGAACGCCTTGTTTGTTGAGGTGTAACGGTAATATCCATAGGATCACTGTATTTCTTTTGTTGTAAATGGTGATAATAAGTAAGTTGATCTTGTATGACAGTAGAGCTATAATTATGGCTTACTTCATCGTTCATATTTTTGTTGACGTCATCCTCGTGTATACACTGGGTTCCATTAATTTTATCAGTATGACAGTTTTGTTCAGAGTTCATATTTCTAACCACAGAGTTTTGAATACTTTCTGTGAAAATGAAGAAAGTAATCCTGCGTTACATATGATCAAAAGTAATTTGGTATGATTGGACTATATAAAGACCAGAATTTCTAATTTTAATTGGGCTCCATACAATATGTATATCCTGCTTTACTTATTGCCACTTGTAATCACTGGAAGGCCAATACATCCAACTGATAGTTCCTAAATGAAACGAAACACGCATTCTGGTTATCAATATTAGTCGAACGGAACACACCCAGCTCCCTTGTGCACATTTGTGAGGTCTAGTGACATTACGTGGTTGGAGCGGGGCTCGAATCCCTGACCTAGAGTTTCATAGTCGTCTCCCTAAGCCACTAAGACACGGCTCCATCTACTTCTAGCCTCTATGGATCACAAATATCAAACTTAAAATCAACGTTTTGCAATAACAAGAACTGCTTTAATAAAACTAAGAGATGCCTATTGACCAATTATTGTATTATTATTTATCCCATTGGGTTCCTAGTGGAACATAGGCCTTCAGTAGCACGTCTCCATTCCACTCTGTTCTCTGCAATCTTTTGGACTTGATTCCACGACTGCCCAGAAGCTCTCATTTCTTCCTCACATCATCTCCTTCATGTCACCCTCACCACGGACGTTAAACTCACCGTTTCCCATCTGAGTTCCGCTCGAGCGCCTGTTGACCAATGCGGCATGCAATTTAACGTGTTTGGCCAACAGCAGTAACGTTTATCGACTATTTACGCTTTTCATTCAAGTAATTGTAATTATCTTCGGTTAACCGTTGGATATCTATGACTGAAGCTACCAACTACATAATCTGTTTAAATCATGAATATTTAGAGTGTTATTGTTCAGTCAGCATTCTAGTTAATCGTGCGACTTATCACTGATCGCATCAGTGTTTGAAACAAAAAAGACATGAATATTTTGACATTTACAACTGATTGGATAGAAGGAAGACATTTTTATCATTTTAGAGGGAGTTCTTCATAACCTGCGGTAACAAACTGAATGTTTATCCCAGTAGTTATTCATCACAAGATGGAAACCAGTTGAACAGTCATTTGAAACCTGGAAACATTAAATAATTGTTTCATTCTAATATGGAACTCCTCAGCAGTTAACACTTACGACCCTATCGGGACTATTAGGTCGCATGGCATGCCTGTTGCTTTTCACCTACAAGGTCATATCCAACTGTCCTACCTTTCTCAGTTCATGATATAGAGTGATCATTATTCAATGATATCATGAAGTATTTCTCCGCAGACAAGTTATGTGAGTTAGAGATGAATACTGTTGTGAAATCAGTCAATCCTCAAAAACTTCCAAGTTGAATATTTATCACAATGATAACTGTGCCAAAAAAAAATTAACTCTTCATTAATTTCACTTGCTAAAAATATGAATGTCAGACAGAGATACTGCCGATTAAATCAAGGTAATGTAAAAGTGACTTGATTTTCACAATTAACAAGACTGTTCAAATACCCATTTAGAAAGTGACCTTGGAGATAATACACCTTCATTCTCAACGTCAGCACAGTTAAATATAACAATGAGTTGTTTTTTGGGGAATATATACATTGGTTAAGGCGGAATATACAAGTTAGCATAAACATCTTGATCATCTCTTTCATGTAAGCACATTATCATCTAATTTTGTCTACTTTTCAGTCCCTAACATATGCAAATAAAAAAATATTCAGGTGCAATGAAATAGATATTCTATAAATTGGATGGAACTTTCTTGACACTTGTAGAACGGCTCCAAAATAAGCGAGTTTGATAGGGACCGTCCAATGTAAGAAATACGTTCTCGTTCAGAAGCTACTAGGTGTGAGATTGAATATGACTTTGGACATTGAAACATAAGTAAAATTTAACATATTTTACATTTTAATCATAAATACATTACAGTTAGAGAAAAGATATCCTCACTTGTGTGAACAGTAACGAGGAATGGATTGAATTCAACTTGTAGTTTGTATCTGGCATAAAATTTTTTTAAACATTTGATTAGAAATATACTCATCTGAGAAGTAACAATCAAAATTAAGATGTACAGGATATATTTCATCCAGTTAGCTTCGTTTGAATGGGTAGCATCTAAAAAAGAAAATGATTGTGGGATAAGTAAGTAAGTAAGTGAGTAAGTAAGTAAGTAAATAAGTAAGTAAGTAAGTAAATAAGTAAGTAAGTAAATAAGTAAGTAAGTAAATAAGTAAGTAAGTAAGCAAGCAAGCAAGTAAGTAAGTAAGTAAGTAAGTAAGTAAGTAAGTAAGTGAGTAAGTGAGTAAGTAAGTAAGTAAGTAAGTAAGTAAGTAAGTAAGTAAGTAAGTAAGTAAGTAAGTAAGTAAGTAAGTAAGTAAGTGAGTAAGTGAGTAAGTAAGTAAGTAAGTAAGTAAGTAAGTAAGTGAGTAAGTGAGTAAGTAAGTAAGTTAGTGAGTAAGTAAGTAAGTAAGTAGGTAGGTAGGTAGGTAAGTAAGTAAGTAAGTAAGTAGGTGAGTAGGTAAGTAAGTAAGTAAGTGAGTGAGTAAGTAAGTAAGCAAGTGAGTAGGTAAGTAAGTAAGTAAGTAAGTAAATAAGTAAGTAAGTAAGTAAGTGAGTAAGTGAGTAAGTAAGTGAGTAAGTGAGTAAGTAAGTAAGTAAGTAGGTAGGTAGGTAGGTAAGTTAGTAAATAAGTAGGTATGTAGGTAAGTTAGTTAGTAAGTGGGTAAGTAAGTGGGTGAGTAAGTAGCTAAGTGAGTGGGTGAGTGAGTAAGCAAGTAGGTAGTTCATCATAGATATTTTCCAGACTACATCAATTTATCGATGACAAAGAATTTGAAATTCACTCAGCATTCTACATATCTACCTCAAGCAATTCTACAGTTAACATATGGTCATTGAAATATTGCGGAGCTAATGTAATCTCGGCATTATCCTTCATAAAATGAGTCCTTTCGAATATCGGATTCGATCCCCTCATCTGTCCACTTCGATCATTTGCATAATCTACTCTTAGCAATTATGAAATATTATCTTTGGCATCCGCTAAACTCTTAACACTGGTTTATTTTCTTATTTTTTGATTGTTCTGACTTTATATATTAGAATTATTCTAATATTATCCAGTTGATTGTTTACGGAGACGCTTAGAACATATTTATATCAATATGTTATGATGATCAGTCTTTTCTCAAAGACTTTTTCTGAAGTTAATCACTCTTCTTGTTCATGGCAGACTTTGTTATAGTGCAGAAACTGGTCAAATGGAGCTGAATCTGATTAGGACAAGGCATGATGTGTGCTTGGGAACTCCAATTCGGTTAATATGTTCAACATCTTATAAGCCTTATGAAAAGATCCAGTGTTTTCAACTAAATGACTGACTGACAGTTTCAAGGTAGAACTTAGCACACAAATGCATCAGTTCACATTGCCACACTTCACAATAGTAAACAAAGAACAGGAGAATATAATAAGAGTGATATCAAAGTAGACAAGGTTTTGTGAGGGAAAAAGCTGTTCGAAGATAAAGGTTAGCACATACATTCAAGCTTGAGATACTGAGGAGTGAATACATCTGCACCACTGTCACTGATTTTCAGCCATGTCACAAAGAGTTCCCAACTACTAATTACTCTTGTCTCGGGGACCCTAATCAGGAAGTCAACATCTCCCCACACGGCTCGGATCAACAGTAAGAGACTTAATTGGCTGGTGCCATTTCTTCGTCTGGCCACCCTCAACCATCTTCCAACCTAATCCAACTCCCTCCAGCATGGAATATTAAGGTAGGCAGTACACATGTTCAAGCCACCTCAGACGGTGAAGGTTCATATCCTCATCAGTCCTCTTGTCTTTTTTGCCTGGTGCCTTTCTCCTGACTTCAGGATTGCTCATGTAATGATTCCACTAAACACAAGCAATGCTACGAATACATCTGTGATCGGAATCCTGTAACTGCTTCATGTCCTCTACTTTTAATTATCAAGTCTCAAAGTTGTGCAACAAAACCAAACAAAGTAGACAGCAGTATACTCGTCCTTTGATAGAAAGTCGTATGTCTTACTAGTCCGTGCTACAGATAACTCAAGTTGGCGACTGCCAACGGAGCCTTCTGTATCGGAGATGAGACTTCGTCAGTAACCTCCCCGTTTAGCCTGATACAACTCCCTAAGTAAGTGAAGCGATCCACACATTCTGCCATTTCACTTCCTAGTGTTCAATAAAATGATTACCACCATCTTTCAAGTTTAATCCCCACCCATCTTGATCCGTTACGCTCGAGCTTCAACGTAAATTGCAGTAATAGCACTATGTCTTGGCATTCCGAAGATTAACTGTTATGTATTAGTAAGAATCTACTAATTGCTTTTTGGATTTCGGTTTTCTCCTAAATAGGTGGTTTATTTCGGTGACTTATCATCGTGCTGTGTTGTGTCACTATGTAAAATCAGAGTATGAATCGAAAAGTATTTCAAAACATTTTCAGCCAGAAGACTCCATGTAATAAACCACAGAGACGCATATCGATTCGCGATGAAGAACAAAGACACACCAATCAGATGGGATGTACGAACAAGAGTTCTTGTAAGGGGGTCTTTTCCAGCCGTATAAAAACCAAAACCGTTACTGCCAAAGTTTGTTCACTTCAGTGGTTCATGAATAGATCACATGTAACGATGATATAAGCAGTCTATAGTGTCATTAGGCTGCATAGGAAGCGATAATAATAACAGATAATACGATTGAACTCTGCTTGGTTGCGGGCCACATTTGTTGTTTGAGGGCTTATGGTATTATCTGGTTAAGTGGTGCAAGCTAGAGTGAACCAAGGTTCAAACTAAGGGCCCATAACTTGAAAATCAAGATTCTAAACGGGTGATCAACAACACTAATAACTTGAGACCTGAAAGCACACCAACTAACATCGAGTGAAAAATCTGTCTACATACCTAAGTTCTAATTTTTGTCGGAAATGGTTTGAACAGCTTGATGGTTAGGTCTCTAACTTCACAACTGTACTTTCCTTAAGATGACAGATGTACGAAGGTTAGTCGACTCTCAACACTTAACGTCAGAATATCGTGCAATGGACTCTACTAACGCCTCGCTAAGTGGCTATGTATCAAACTTTTTCAATAGGCTTACAGCAGTGTTCATCACTTAGTCCTTGACTGTTACGTTGGTTTTCATATGGGGAATGATTCATTAGTTATGTAGATTTTTGGAGTCATATCCAACTCATTCATCTTACGTAAAAATTCCGTTCAGCTAACAGATTTATCAATGACCAGGCATTCGAATTGATTGTTATTGTTACGAGTCATAGTATTGGTCATATTATAGACAATGATTTGGAGGAAAGATACACTGGGTTGTTGTTTGGTTACTATTTGTGATTTATTTGCGTTACATTGCGAGTGATCTCGATAGAAACCATCTTCACATACATTGTTCGTAGTGTATTCTATTTACACTTCCTTATTTGACCTTTAACATTGTAATTGGGTGTTTGTTTGTTTATTCTCTAGTTTGAACTGAGTTTCTGAATGATACTTGACTTGTTGCTCCGTTTGAATTGAACTGTGTAATGAGTATATTCTTCATTATCTTCGCCTGCTTCCTTTGTTTCTACTTTGTCTGATACTTGTGAATCAACAGTGTTGATATCGCTAAGAATATGCAAAGATATTTAAGGTCGTGAGGATATACAAGAAAACTAGTTAACCTATCATTGCATAACACTTTTATGTTAGAGATCAAACCTTGGGATCCTAGCTGAATGTTTCCCAATGGAAACCCTATTGACAGAACAGTTGGTCAGTTGAAAAAAATACTCAACTTTGACGAATTTCAGCATGGACCTTGCAATTTAAAAATTATTTGAAAACTTATCATCCTATATAAGGCAGACTGGCTCATGCAAGTCAGTTAGTCAAACTCAGCTCTGTGAAGTGAATTTATTCGGATACACCACAGATTAACTGGGTTGGCCCAAAAGAGAGAAACAGTCATCCAGTGTTTAGATAGCTCTGATATGACTGGCATAATCTGCAGATTAGCATTATTATTATTTTTCCCTTGGGTTCCTAGTGAAACATAAGGTTTCAGTAGCACGACTTCATTCCACTCTGTTCTCTGCAGTCTTTTGAACCTACGCCACGACTGCCCAGAAGCTTTGATTTCTTCAAGTTGTTCAGCAGTATATTTCATCAACCCGATAATATTCAATTCTCAAAGATTATGAAGTTAGATGACCATTTATTATATATTGATGATTCATTTTACAGATGTACATCTCTACATGAAGTGTTGACACTTTAGGGAAAATGGTTAAATATTTAAGAGTGCACATTTAACTACAGTTTTAATCAACTATGAAATGAGTGAATTTGGCAACTGACAATATTCAGGTCACAACAGACTGACTGGTGGCCTATTCTTGTCAGGTCAAAAGATCCTGGTTTCAAAGAGCAGTAATGATAATCATAGAACTCAGTTTGGAAGTTTGTGGATATTTATTTATTGATTTCAGGTTGGTAGTCATCATTGACTGAGAAGAGTTGGAGAGGAACTGGACAGCTGTTTCATTCCTCTGTAGGTTTTTAAGCAGTGCGTCCCCACGATCCCATTCCATAAGGATCTGACCCAAGACATTCAGGTCCCGTAGCCGGCACGTTGCCATTAAGACACTGTGTCGAAATGCAACTGTACATATTTCCTGCTTCTGTCACTGCACGATATAGTGCGACCTCCATCCAATGTCACCGTTAAGTAACTGTTCTCATGTCCAAATGACTGGTTTCAGCGGTCACGACTTCCCACTGGTGACTAGCTTTGAGGGGTGATTTCTGCAGTTCCAGTGACAAATCGATAGTGGTAATGTCAACCAAGTTGAACACGAGGACAATTACTCAGCGACAGCACTGAAAGGAGGTTGTACTGTATCATGAACTGATAGAGGTAGGAAGTATGGACCATTGGATTCTGATCCAGTGGGGCTCAATAGTAAAGTGGTGACCACGGAACCGGAAGATCCTGGGTTCAAACCCTTGGGAGTGGGGTCATGAATGTGCGATACTGAGTTTCCAATGTTTCTCCAACTGATGCCAGTCCATGATGAGCACCAACTTGAAATTATACAATTTATCGACCATATATTCCTGCATTTTATCATGAGCCCCATTCATTGTATATGCAAGTCTACAAAAACAATTAGCTTCTCAGCTCTTAATTGGTATATTGCAATTAAATTGTGAACCTATTTTGTGGATAGTCGAGTGCCCAAATCAATGAATTATAACTTTTCAGTAATAGGATCACAAGTGTTTAGTGTTTTTCCAGCCATTGAAAAAAACCGTAAATATCTTCGGTTGAAATCATGACGTCCACCCATTCACCCAGTTACACACATACACAACAGAAATATACTATGCCAACAAAATATATTAAAATTCTATGAAAAATAAGTTGGAAATCAGAAAGTAAGTGAAATTTAACATACCAGTATTTGTTAAACGAAAATGTACATCAAATGTTTTATCCATCTGTCCACCAGTAGTATAATTAATTTCTAATGTTGACTGAATAAAAAAGAATTGTACTAAAGTAGCCAAATTTGATGGAGGGAATAATGAATCATATTGATGTTTTAGCTTATTATTCCACAACATAAGTGGTATATAAACTTTGAACTGACCAGTTGAATCATTCTGTTCTTCATTCATTTCATTTAATGAATACAAATTAGCCTTTTTTTTTAAGAAAAAGAAAGAAATATATTTCTTATAAGAAATAATAACGAAGCTAATGATTCCACTTTTATTCGTTGATTAGATTCGTCATCACAGTGTGGAACAGTGTTGTTTACTGAATTACATTTCACACACAATTTATTGTTCATAGTCATATCATCTATCTAGGCAGTATCGTTTCAACTACAGGCAGCGGCAAAGACGACGACGTCACAGCAACCAGGATCAGAAGAACAAGACAGGCGTTCATTAATCAGAAATCAGTGTGGAGATCCTACTTCATTCAGCATAAGCGTGAACAACACCCAGATTTTCAACACTAATGTCAAGTCAGTACTTCTATATGCTTCAGAGACTTGGCGCGTTGAGAAAGGCATTTCTAACAAACTACAGATATTCATCAACAACTGCCCACACTCGTTACTGAAGCTTAGATGGCCAGAAATAATAAGCAAAAAAAGAAACTCAGGCTGGTAACGAATCAATGAAACAAGAACCTATCACTCAACAGATATGCACTGGAAGGAAGTGGAGGTGGGTTGGGCATGGACTGAGAAGACTATTCGGAGACATCACGTGCTGGGACAGACACTCGAGTGGAACTCAGATGGAAAACCACGGTTGGCGTCCGTGGAGAGAATGACATGGAGGAGATCGTGTGAGGAAGAAATGAGAGCTTATGGACAGCGTGGAGCCAGGTTCAAAAGATTGCAGAGAAGAGAGTGAAATTTCGACGTGCTACTGAAGTCCAATTTTCCACTAGGAACCCAAAGGACAAATAACAATAATAATATATCAACAAACTACACAACTTTGAGATATCCTTCATATAGTCCTAATTTACACGGGTAGTAGAACTTTCCGTATGTCTGGAACAGATGCTCAGTCATTCCTGTTCGTACATACATTCAGTGTTGATTCGACTAACAAATATTCACTTATCAATCTCTCTCTCTCTCTTCACCAGTGTTATCCTAGTTTCAAGCATTTTCACCCTATCCCATCCCATTGTGTGCCTGCGTGTAATTGTATGCATAGCTATGGCTGAGCTCCTTTCTAAATACATTCCTTATCTCACCAGGATCTACCCATTTTGACACAGTTAGGTGTTTTGTCCTCACATAGTCTAGTTGACCGACCCTAATCGACTAATTTGACTTATGTATTTGATCTGGCAATTGTTGCAAGGGAGTTGATAAACTAAGTTATTCTGCTTAATTGGATCAAAAGGATGTTTAAATCTACAAAGCTTATTTGTGAATGAGTTTGTAAGTTCAAAATGCCACTCTAATTCCAGCTATCCTTATGGAGAATCCTACGTGGTACTTTGAGGTGTCTTCTTTGTATGGTAATACTGCAGAGATTTCTGAATTCTCTGTAAACAGTATGGCCACTACTGTTATTAACATCATTATTACTGCTGTGAATACCTGCGTTACTAATAGTTTGCTTACGATTGCTGAGGAAGTTATCAATTAACTTGGAAGAGTGATTGTTGATGATTGAGGTGTCTTTAATATATGTAGTTTCTTGTCTTACATCTTCTGTTTTACTAGTAATTTGTTTTGGCCCTGTTAGACACTTTACTAAGTCATCTTTAACTGACATATGGTGAGACGATTTGAAGTCTGAGTAACGATTTGAATGTGAAGGTTTTCTGTAGACACTAATGTCCAGGCTTCCATCTTGTTTCCTTTTTATTCTACAATCCAACATTGTTAATTCCCCTTCAGTATTTTCTAATTCATCGGTGAGTTGGATTGCGTGTCTAAGTAACAGAAGATCTAAGACAAGAAACCAGATACATTAAAGACACCTCACTCATCATTAATCACCCTCCCAAATTAATTGATAAGTTCTCCAGGAAAATATCAGTAAAACAGGTGTTAACAGTAGTAATAATAACTTGAATATCAACCTGAAAACTTAATGTCAGATTCATACTATTGAAAAGGATCTTCCTAGCAAGATCGAAACATTGAGGAATTATACAAACTATTTGTTTATTTTGTTATTTGTTCTAATATACTACGCTGGGACTACATAAGTAAAAATACACGTTATACGATGAGTAGTAATAATAATGCTAATAATAGTAGTGGCCATACTGTTTACAGAGAATTCAGAAATCTCTGCAGTATTACCATACAAAGAAGACACCTCAAAGTACCACGTAGGATTCTCCATAAGGATAGCTGGAATTAGAGTGGCATTTTGAACTTACAAACTCATTCACAAATAAGCTTTGTAGATTTAAACATCCTTTTGATCCAATTAAGCAGAATAACTTAGTTTATCAACTCCCTTGCAACAATTGCCAGATCAAATACATAGTCAAATTAGTCGATTAGGGTCGGTCAACTAGACTATGTGAGGACAAAACACCTAACTGTGTCAAAATGGGTAGATCCTGGTGAGATAAGGAATGTATTTAGAAAGGAGCTCAGCCATAGCTATGCATACAATTACACGCAGGCACACAATGGGATGGGATAGGGTGAAAATGCTTGAAACTAGGATAACACCGGTGAAGAGAGAGAGAGAGAGAGAGATTGATAAGTGAATATTTGTTAGTCGAATCAACACTGAATGTATGTACGAACAGGAATGACTGAGCATCTGTTCCAGACATACGGAAAGTTCTACTACCCGTGTAAATTAGGACTATATGAAGGATATCTCAAAGTCGTGTAGTTATATTGATCTGAATATGGACAACAACTTGTATGTGAAGTGTAATCCAGTAGACAATACTGTTCCACTTGTGTGATGACGAATCTAATAAATCAGTTTAAATGGAATTACATCCTACCACGGCGATCAAGTTTTACTCATATATCACGATTATCAATTTCTCGGATTTCAACATGTTTTCAAGAGTAATCTGGTGAAAGTCTTTTATCACCGTTTCTAGCCTCTTTTTAGATGGTAAATAGGCTTTGTTGATGATTCATTTTGAACAGTGGAAACCAGTTTCAGGATTTCCAAACCCTAACTGAACTGAGAAACCCAACTGATATCCAGATCTCAACTTTGGTTTGGTCACTGAGGCGTTTTGCCTGGGTATCATGTTAACCCGTGATACTTCGGTGTCTGTTTATCGTAAACCACGTATCCTCATACCAATTCAAATTGAGGTGAATTAGAAAGTGAAGTGAAGAAATACCCTGGTAGCCCAGTCCATCGAGCACCGGGCGGTAAATCGGTGATAGCCAGTTTGAATCTCGCCACCACCCATATTTTCATTATACCTGGAGTCATCATCTCATAACAATAAATGCGTGCAACTGTTTTTAATAGTTGATATGGTACATTTTAGTGTCATTTCAAATATCATGATAACCACATTTAATCCTTTATCGTCTGTAAACTTTTAGCAACATCGATAAACGGTATAGGAAAAAGTTTTGCCGTTGAATATGTGAAGAAAGGGGAGAATGAAATTATAGTCAAAAGGTATTTAAATAGGCTATGAAATGGTTTTACTGTTCTACTAACTACTTTGTCCGGTATGACGTAATCTGTCATGAGTCTATTCCGTTTAAACATCCACTCTTAACTTTTCTTTAATTCAGTTTAAGAGTTTGTGCGGATTTATTCACTTCAAGGTGGCATTCATCATGGACTGACAACCGTTGCAGGAACATCTAAAACCTGGGACTCCTCTGCGGGGTCATCGCTGAGGACTAATTTAGTCATCTCGTTGAACTAGACAATATGAAGATGATTGGCCTCCAGTGAACAATCGATATGTAAGATCAATAGTCGCGGAAATTTTTATCTTCAACGAAATCTTCTTCCGTATTTAATGACTGATTCAAACCTAATTTATAATTGGGATGATTTGAAGTACTGAACACAAACGAAAAATATTCTATTCTTAAAAGTGTTTAGCATTACAGTTAGAAAAGAAAAACGCAGGACATTATACTTACATATGTACAGTATTGTTTTATCCGACAAACTCGAATAAGACAAGTGAAATAGGGGTATTTTTGTAAAACGGGATATTGTAAATTGAATGGTTGACTTATCCAAATTGTTGAGTCATTTTGTTGTTCATACCCAAGCGTAGTTCGTTCAAATAAAATACACTGATACACTAACTGACCAGTGATATCAGTTATATTTTTATCTTTGTGCTGGTTCACATTTAGGCATCTGAAAGAAAATAATAACCGGTCACCTTCAGTCATCACCCGGTGTAAAAATACTAATCTGTCAAACTACAGCTATCTCGGATAGTCAAATGATAATCAATATGGTGTTCCCCCTATCTGATTCAGTTAGATTACGATTGGGATGGGAAGTAGTGACTAGGCAGCCATTGTGAATACGATCAAGCGGTAGTAAGGCGTCACGAATTCATATGGTAGTCGGGCAAAACTTTGCTGAAATAAAAATTCTGGTCAGCAGTCGGATCTCGTAGCTCAGTTGGTAGAGTATGGGGCAGGAAACCAGGTGGTTGCAGGATCGAATCCGGTCACGGTCCAAATTTTCATTTCACCTTCAATCACCACCCAGTATAAACAACCAGTCTGTTTGTTAAATATCAACTTGATGAAGTTTACATTTCACTTAGTATCATCGAGTATAACAGAATAAGCTGAGAAATGATTTGATCATCAAAACATTTCAGAAATTTGTCATTCTTTTCAGATTTAATAATATAAGGATATTTTGAAGATGTCTTTAAAAAATGCAGAGATTCTTAACCATATTGAATGGCTCTCCATCAAGCCAGAGAGAAATATTGTAAGAATTCCTTTCTTGAGAACTAGAGTTCTAAATTCTACAGAGAAATGTGATTGAAGCATATCAACAGGAGGTCTTGTGTAATTCATACCGTGTTTCAGTCATTCATAGCCTGGAAGCACTGGAAAGCTGTTTCGGTGGAATTCAGGCTTCCTCAGTAGTACACATTCACGAACTCACCAGGAAATGAACACAGGACTGTCAGGTTTTAAGGTATAAGCATGTTATCATCTAGTAGTCGATTTGGAATCAAATGTCTCATATTTTCCTTTTTCTGTCAGTTAGCTTAAAAATGAGCATTTTCAAAGTGAAACGAAGCAGCTATTCAGTGCTCCCCAGTTTTGAATAGGTCTCCAATGGATATTTATCCGTGGTGGAAACTAACTTGAAGTAATAAATACCTCTCATCAAATCAACAGTTAAATTTCTAAATCCCTCGAAAATAATATTAACATTACAGTTTAGCTGGACAATTTAGTCAGGAAGCTTTCATTATCATTCTAGGCCAAATCGTTCGTACAAAATTCAGAAAGAAGTGAGTTATAGGGTTTTCCCCACAATTTATTTATTAGCTTGTGCTGATGACCTTGTGTGTGGTTGGTTGTTTCTGCTCTGGTCTTGTCACTCTCTTTGGATTTGTGTTGCGACTGGCTGTCCTGATGACATGAAATTTGACCTTCTAGCTATTTCTTATTAGTTGATGAATCCGGTCAATGTCACTATGCCTTTTGAAAGCAGTCAGCTGATTGGCCCGAATACTAAGCTTTTAAACATTTTCTGGGATTCTTTGTATTTCTTCTATCCGGGCTTCTTATAATTTCCCGGTCACATTGATATCGAAAGTTGTCCGAACGCATTGATTTGAGCGAAAATATGTGACGATACTTCACTGATAGTTGATGTTCATGTACACGGACCTGAAGGGGACGATCACTTTGCATGATGTTGTGTTTCTCACAGTTTATACAGTCTATTTTGTAGACAATGGTTAGTTTTTCTTCCTCTAAATTTCAGATCATCAGGAAAACCAATGGAAATAGATATGGAGATAATGAAAAGACTTGGGAAGAAACAACCAGTCACACACAAGACTATCAAGACAAGCTACTAAGCAACCTGGAGAGGCAACCTTATAGCTCACTTCTTTTGGAAGTTTCTGCTGTTGCCTATGCTGTCAATGACGAAAATGAAAGCTTTACAGATAAGCCATCCAGTTATGAGAACATAACACTGTTAAAATTATCCTGAGCTAAAGAATTATTCTTCATTCTCTAAATATAAAGGTGCTGGATAACTGTAAGCCAATGAAGATTAATTTCCCAGGGTGGATATTTCACAAATAAGATGACATAAGCTTTAATATAAGAAAAAAACATAGGGAATGAGGTAGATGACAATTCCATTTTAGTCCCTTTATTAGAAAGTGACTTAGAAAGTGATGAGGGTCAACTAGTAGTAGTAGAAGTGGTAGCAATAGTGACAGCGATAGTGGTAGTTATAGTAGTAGTAGTAGTAGTAGTAGTGAAGGTAATAGTAGTAGTAGTAATAGTAGTAGTAGTAGTAGTAGTAGTAGTAGTAGTAGTAGTAGTAGTGTGACTAGTACTAGTAGTGGTAGTACAAGTGGTAGCAGTAGTAATAGTAGTAGTATTTTGAGTAGAAGTAGCTGTAGTATTGGTTGTAGCAATAGTAGTAGTAGCGGTATTATTGGTAGAAGTAATGGTAGCAGTAGTAGTATTAGTAGAGGTAGCAGTGTTAATACTGTTATTATTAGTATTGGCAGTAGTAGTCGTCGCTGTCGTCGTAGTAGTAGTGGTATAGTAGAGTAGTGATAGAAGCAGTCGTAGTAACAGTAGCAGTAGTAGTAATAGTGGTAGCAGTAGTAGAATTAGCAGTAATAGCTGTGGTAGTAGTATTAGTAGTGTGGGTAGCGTGAGTTGTATTATCAGTAGCAGTAGCGGAAGTATTAGTAGCAGTAGTACCATTAGTAGTAGCAGTGGGAATGATAGTGGTAGTAGTAATGGTAGTATTAGTATTAGTAGCAGTGGTAGTAGTGTGAATATTACTTTTACTGGTAGTACTAACGGTAGTATTATTAGTAGCAGTTATAGTTTTAGTAGAAGTAGCTGTAGTAGTAGTAGTATTATTAGTATCGTTAGTAGTCAAAATGGAACTAGTACAAGAAGTAATAGTTGCGGCGGTAGTAATAATATTGGTACCATTATTATTAGTCGTATTAGTAGTATTCGTAATAGTTTTAGAAGTAGCGGTATTATTATTACGAGTAGTAGTATTGATAGTAGTAGTAGTAGTAGTAGTAGTAGTAGTAGTAGTAGTAGTAGTAGTAGTAGTAGTAGTGGCCAAAGCTTTGGATCAGCTTCTCCAGTGAGCAAATATTTCCAGAGTTTCTCAAAGATAAGTTCCAACTTGAACCAATTCAATGTATGTCTACAAATTCACCTAGTGCAATGGAGCTAGTTACTTAGACCATAGAATGCGCACACATGTCTAACGTTTCTCTTCGAGGAGAGAATTTAAATCAATAATAGTTCAGTTCTTAAAAATTTGGTCATTTGTGAACTTGTCACTCCAAATGGAAACCTCCTTCACTATCGTGTACTTCGCTGGTTACTGAAGCTCAGATGGCCAGAAAGAATAAGGAAAAAGAAACTCTGACTGGTAACGAACCAACGAAACACGAACCTATCGCTCAACAAATATGCGGTGGAAGAATGTGGAGGTGGATTGGGCATGGACTGAGAAGGCCCTCGAGCGGAACTCAGATGGGAAATGACGAGTTGGGCGTCCGTGGCGAGAATGACATGGAGGAGATTGTGCGAGGAAGAAATGAGAGCTTCTGGGCAGTGGTGGAGCCAGGTTTAAAAGTTTGCAGAGAACAGAGTGGAATAGATACGTGTTACTTAAGCCCTATGTTCCATTAGGAACCCAAGGGACAAATAATAATGATAATAAGTCAGAAAGAGTAAGCATTGGACACCAGTTCACAATAGAAGCAATGGCAATCCACTTATTCAAACCTGATCTCTGCTTGTTGAAGAATGTTCATTTTCTTATCTTACGATGGCTTTAACACTTTTGACATCTTGAGATCAATTAGTTGCACAGACCATGGGATAAATATTTGAACTGGTAGGCAGTCATGAAATATATTCTAAACAATCTGATTTGGTAATCCATATTAGATGTGTTTATTTGATATATAGTGCACTGTGATACAGTATTACTTACTTGATGACCACGTTTCGAGAATAAGTTATCATTGCTCATAATCATATCAATGTAATCACACCACTTTTCTACCTCGTAATTTAATTGGATTGCATCTACTACAGAACAAGGAGGAATACCTATGTTGGATTGCAGAAAACGAAGGACAGACGGCGGTTTCAATGCTACTGTCTACAGGAAACTGATACATTCTAACAAGTATCTAGACTTCAGGTCATCTCATGCAATATCAGTTAAGGCAGGTTCAGTCAAATGTCTAAATGATAGAGGTAAAGAAACTCACTAGTCATTGTAAGGACTTAAACAAGGAATTGAAACATATAACAGAGGCGTTAATTTTTATTATTATCCTGTACAGTTTATTAAGAAATTCGTACGAACACACACGAAACGAAATGATAACAGTAACACAAATAGAAAGGAGTTCACAACCTCAATTGTGTTACCATTTATAAGGAAGGAACATTAGAAACTTTACGTAGGGTCCTCAACAAAGCTGGAATTAAGGTGGTATTTAAACCTACAAACTCACTCAGAGATAAGCTTTGTCGGGTGGCTTAAGGATCCGATAGATCAAATTAAGCAAAATAATCTAATCTATCAAATTCCATGCGATGACTTGAGGTCAGGTACATAGGTCAAATCAGCTGGCCGGTGTCAGATTGGCAGAACATAAGAATTCAGCTAAATATAGAATGAAAGACCCCAATAAGGTCAATAATCCAGAAAAACGCTTGTCTATTGCTGTGCATGTATAGTAACACACAACCACACAGTAGGATTGATGGGATGAAACCATTGTCCAATATAATCAGGTAGAGACAAAAGGAGAGGTTGATTATTGAATCTTTGTTCATCAATACCCAAAACAGTGGGATAGAAATGATGCAACACCCATACCAGAGATATAGGAAATTTTAATATCAATCGAATCAAAGAATGTGAGATGACAGAACTATAAAAATTAGATGTCGACAGTAGTGTGACTACATTGATATGATTACGAGCAATAATTTATACTCGAAGCATTAACAAGTAAATAAGTAAACAAATCTAACATGGAATTGTAGACTAGCACAGTGTCCAAGTTTTACACTTATATTAACCATATTTGGAAACTGTTTGTTTTAGGAAATCCTTAAAAGTCACTGAAGATGAAACAGTTTATTTGGTCAAATTTCAAATTCTATATGATTTTTAACCCTAAGCGATTTTAATTACTGAGGGAATGGTTTTAATTCTTTGGATAAACAAGTTGCTGTTAGACAGCAGTTTATCATTCATTCCGGATGTTTTGCTGTGTTTCAGTGAGCATCATCTTCATGATTGTAACTGTGGCTTTGAAGTCGAAAATCAGATACTTTCGTAGTAGTGCACACTATTGTTTAGAATGCAGTTGGTTAGTGTTTAGTAACACATATGCAGGTAAAGTTGAGTAGAGAAATATGATGTATTTAAAGTAGCCAGGTTATAAGGCAACTAGAAAATGAAGACGAATGATCTTAACAGAAAGGACATTCCTTAATGGGTTATAATATTTTACCCAATACTGGCTGTAATTCCTCCAAGAATCTGTCTCTTTAGTGATGTTCATCAGTGCTACTATCATCACTAACACTAAGGTTCTTTCATCTTCTGAGTGAAGTGACTAGACTCATAAAATTTCGCTTTTTTTTTACAGCTTCTTTATATCCAAATTATGTCTGAAAAATACTCATCATTTCACTGTTTTGGTTCAAACAAAAATTACAGACTAGTCATATGCATATTTAATGGACTATTCATTTGGGATAAATGCAATAAGAGCATATTTGAATACCTTACATGAGAGTTACATGAGTTGCATGTGATTCGCGTATAGCATTTCGGCAAGAAATTATTAGCACCATCAATACATATAGATATAAACAATGTATGAATTAAAATTATAATTGAAAAGCACACTACAGACTTCTAAAGGTAAAACTGAACTCCTGTCTACCAAACTCTAAACAGTAAATCAATCAGTGAGGTTATAGAAATACAACCTAAACTACAAAATTAATTTTCATAACCAAATAAAGATATTCTATTGATGAAAATCTAAAACAATAATTTTTAGCCATATTTTGACCTTGATTTCTTTTCATTTGTATATAGTTGATGAAATCTATTCATTACGATAATCATATATATCAAATTTTAAGGATTATCAACACGTTTTAGTGAGTATGCGTATAAAGAAGTTTGTTAAATATCACTTTTTCCATAGCTAACTTATTCGTTCAATGTTAAAGGTCATTGAACATTGAATCTACCATTCAGAATGTTATCATTCAACATTCAATGATAAAAGTAAATGAGTTCAATTTACTGCATATCTAAACATTGTAGAACACTATAAAAAAAAGATTCTTTAAAGATGAATGCACTCACTTTAAATCTCGATGATCTTCATATCCAAAGTTCACTTTTTTTCCGAATGAATTCATTTCATCTTTGATTAAACAATATTCTATAAGTATAACTTTTCAATAAATCAAAAGTTTAACGGATGAGAGTTAATGAGTGACAGTTGCAAGACGTTTAAAATGAATTCATATTATGCATAAAAGGCTATTAGAAAACTCTGATATGGTGTTGACATGGAGTATGGTTGGTTAAGAGTTACACTTAAACAGTTTAAGCCACGCCTTGTATAATACAGTGGTTATTTTGAGATACTGGAGAATATTTGCAGCTCGTGTAATCGTGTTGTTTTCTTTGAGCTAAATAGTTTAATCGCGAAGCTTTCCCTATCATTCTAGACAACATCAGCAGTAGCACAAACTTTAGAAAGAAGTGAGCCATAGGGTTTACACTACAACTTGCTTAGTTAATAAATAAGGAGGCAATGACAAAAATTCACAGAAACAACCAGCCACACACAAGACTATCAAGACAAGCTACTAAGCAACTTGGAGAGGTAACCTTATAGCTCACTTCTTTCGTAAGTTTGTGCTGCAGCCGCTACCGTCTAGAATGACAAAAAAGCCTCACAGTTAAACCATCCTACTCACAGGATATAACACTATAAAAAAACGGTTTTTTGCAACATTTCGCGTGTTCAACATTGTTAGTTTCGCGACAAGATAAGCTATACAGTTTGTTCAATAGATTAAACAGAAGTCGGAAGTTATAATTCACTTGATATCATTTCACCAAATGATCTTGTCTGGATGTCTCTTTTTTATTCTTCTCTAGATGTTTTCACTCTGTACACTTGAACAAAATCTTTTCTATTACCTGTCGTTATTATAATGTATTTACTAAGAGAAGAGCCAACTGTTGTCTAAATTGGTCGATGATAGGTCCAACTCTTGGTGGGTGTACTATATGTATTAAAATAAAGCCTGAAATGGATCTGATTGAAAACAATATTGTTAGCTTATATGTTGTGTTGTAAATCTTCTTCCAATGACGTTAATGTTATTATGACCTAAAGAGTTAGCCTGTGTCACATTTGTCAGAACTACTTAGATTAAAATAGCATTAGATGTCTACAATACTGAAACTTCGAAGTTGACGTATGAATTATGAATGTGGGTCATTTTTGCATACATAAGTGATCACTGAAAGTCAACTATTCAAATAAATATTCATTGATAAAACTGAGGATAATCAAATTTCACTAAACAATATACTAGTTTGTAGAACATCGTTGCATAAACTGTTGCCCTGGAGCCAAATAATGGTAAATCTGTCAAAAGACCTGGAGGTTTTGTAGTTGATATTGATGACGGGGGGATAGAAGGTAGCGTTTACAATGTCGGATATTCTGAAACTGCTTTTTATTATTAATATTTGTCCGTTGGGTTCCTAGTGGAATAGAGGACTTCAGTAGCACGTCACCATTTCACTCTCTTCTCAACAGTCTTCTCAACCTGGCTCCACCACTGACCACAAGTTTTCATTTCCTCCTCACACCATCTCCTCCATGTCACCCTCGACTCAGATGCCCAACTCGTAGTTTCCCCTTTGGGTTCCACTCAACAGCCTGACCTGCTGCGTGAAGTCCCAAAATGATCTCCTCAGTGTATGCTCAATCCAGTCCATCTCCACTTTCTCCTACTGCATGTTTATTTGGCGGTAGGTTCTTGATTGGTTTGTTGTCAGCTGGCAGGCGAGATTTCCTTATTGTTTATTCGTCTTAGTCTGGCCATCTGATCTCCATTGTCAGTATCGAGTGAGCGTAGGTGGCAGCTGTTCATATGATGTATGTCTGTAGTTTGTTGTAAATGCTTTTCGTAACACGCCAAGTCTCTGAACCATCACACAGAAGCACTGAGTGACTTGACTGACATTAGTGTTGAAAATCCGAATCTCGTTGTTTATGCTGAGTGCAGTAGGTCTCCACACTGATTTCAGATTAAGGAAGGCCTGTCTTATTTTCCTATCCTCGCTTTGGCATCCTCATCTGTACCGTCTGCAGTTGGAACGATGCTGCCTAGGTAGGTGAAAGAGACAACTTCTTTTAGGTTTCTCCTATTACTGGTGTTTGGTACTTGTTGTTCTGAAACTGTTTAGTGAATTTTTAAACAGTTGTTTGTTTGAAAGTATTTTCAAACTGATCGAATCATTATTTAAGAGCATGTCCATACTAAGAATTTAGTGGATCAAGTGTAGAAGGTTGGTTTGGAAATTTGATGGAATGAATAGATTCAGAAATTCGTTTCTTTTCTTTATTTATAAATCTAAGAGAGAACGGAACTCCAAGTTTTAAGGAATGTTCTCCGTGCTCATTCTTTCCTGTCGGTAAGTTGTCTCAGTCGTGACCTATAAACAGTTACAGAGAATTTTAAAGTTGATGTGTATGTGGAAATGTTTACTGTGAACACTACAGATGTTAGGCGTTTTACTATATTGTCACTTACTTTTCGAAGGTCATGATACATTACAACGTTTCTCAAAGAGTCTTTCAATACCAACTCTAGGATTACCCATATAGTTATACCACACAATTTATGGCTAAGAATGTGTGAAGAAGAATGAATAAACCCTCACAAACCTCCGAATTGACTCAGTTACTAATCAAGTGACCTATATTTTCATTTCACCTTAGTTCACTCCCTTTACCGTCCTCACAAACTACGGTTTGTTGATATCTACTGATAATAAGAATGCCATTATCAGGTTGATATCCACTACAAACTGATATCAGTTGGAGAGACACTGAGAAATTTAGAGAACTGGACAAATGTTTCTTTTCACCGTGGGACTTCTCAGCAGTGCGCGCCTGTAACTCCCCCTGCTAGGGATTATTATTTGTCCCCTAGGTCCTTAATGGAACATAGAGCTTCAGTAGCTCGTCTCCGATGCACTCCGTTTCCTGCAAACTTTTGAACGTGGTTCAACGACAGCCCCGAAGCTATTTTTTCTTCCTCACACGATCTCCTCCATGTCACTCTCACCTCGGACACCCAACTCGTCGTTTGCCTTTTGGGTTCCACTCAACAGCCTGGTGCGTGATGTCCCCAGTCGATCTTCTCAGTGCATGCCCAATCCATCTCCACTTCCTTCCAGTGCATATCTGTTGAGTGATAGGTTCTTGTTTGGTTCGTTACCCGGTCAGAGTTCCTTGTTGCTTGTTCTTAGTATTCTGTTCAACCGACCTTCAGTAACGATCCAGGATAGGCAGTTGTTGATGAATATCTGTAGTTTGTTGGAAATCCCTTTCGTAACGCTCCAAGTCTCTGAGCCATACAGAAGCACTGATTTGACGTTGGTGTTGAAAATCCGGATATTGTTGACGCTTTATGTTGAGTGCAAAAGATCTCCACACTGGGTTCAGGTTAATGAACGCCTGCTAGGGATCCAGCCCAGGAACTTCAGGTTACCATTAAAACAATGCTTTGAATGGTTGGGCTGGATCATTGGATTCTTATCAACTGGCTCAACCGTTATGTGCTGCGGCACTTGAAGGTCATGAGTTCGATCGTTGGTGGGGTGGGTTCGCTTGTTCGCATTGCTGGGAAGTCCCATTCTTTATGAGGAAACGGCTGTCTAGTGCTTCCAGGTCTCCAACGTTCGTTCACCTGATGTCAATCCATGATGAATACCAACCTGTAATCAATAAAATGTACCCCACAAACCTCCAAATTGACTGCCGTCATCAGACAGTCTTCGTCGAACACCTTCTCAACATAAAGTGAAGTTCTTAGTGTTACAGCTAAGAAGGCAAATGAATTTTAGGCAGCATAAACATAAAACTGAGTGTAAGTGTTTTCTACAGAATGCAGAACAGTTTATTAGGTCTGGATTATATAAATTCAATGAAAATCGTGTATTTTGACAACTGGACATTTATGTGTTAGCTGACTGCGAAACCCTAAATTTGACCTTGAAATTTGTCATTGCCTACAGCATGGTAACACTGGATTCAGTAGATAAACTTATGTTTTCCAGCTTAAACATTAGGCTCATTAAAATTTATCCTTCAACTCGAAGTAATTAATGTAGGAGTATAATTGAAGGGATTGTTATGGGATCGCAAAATATCCCCTGTCGTCACAGACGTATTTATGGATAGTTGGTAACGAATAGCCCCTTCAAACACTTACTCCTACTTCAAAGATATGGTTACAGTATGTAGATGACAACATTCATGATAATGAAATTGGAACAGATCAATAAGTTCTTGATACACCAATTCAGTAGTGAGTGGAATCCAATCTACCACGTAGCAGTGTTGGATTGCGAGATTAAACGAAAATCAGATGGAAGTTTAGAGACTTGTGTCTAGAGAAAACCTCACTATTTGAATCGTTAATTAGACTTCAAATGATCCCAAACCATCTCAGTTAAAGTAGGCTTAGTTAAATGCTTGGATGATAGGGCAAAACGTCTGCGAGTTGAACAGAAAATCTGGGACGAGAAATTGGACACATCAAGAATACGTTACATCTCAATAATTGCCCACTCAAATTTTTCTATCAACTCATGAGAATCCTAAAGAAAAATATGAGTAGTAGTAGTGTGAGCAGTGAAAGTAGTCGCAGTAGTAGTAGTTGTGAGTAGTAGTAGTAGTAGTGGTAGTAGTACGAAACAGAGATCCTTAGAAGACGAGTAATAATTGTACTGACAATGGTAAGAATAGTGACAGTGTTGAGAGAATTCAGAGACTGACTCCATTATGTTTCAGTGCAATGAATGGACCTCAGTAGCCTTATGAAGGATTTTCAGTGAGACTGGCTGAGATCAAAGTGACATTAAAACCAACAAGCTCGCTTAGTAACCGTCTCTAGCTTGAAAGATCTCAGTGATACAATTAAGTAAAATAATTTGGCCTAACAAATCCCTTGTAACGTTTTTGAGGTGAAATACGTAGATCAGAGTAATCAATCAGGAGAATTAGACTATCCGAGTGCAAACCTTAACTAAGTCAAGAGTAGTAGATCCCAATAAGAGGATAATAGGTTTGGAGATAGGCTCGGCTATAGCTGTTTACGGAATTACACACTATCATACAATATGGTGTTATAGGGTGAAGATATTAATAAATAACCCATTTGGGTGGAGAGTGAGACTGATAACTGAATCTTTGTCCATCGAATCAACACCAAATACGTGCACTAGAAATGATTCATCACCTGTCCCGGATATATGGATTACTACTACTGTTATTTCTACTACACTTATCACAAAGAGGGTGTGAAGAGTAAAATTATATAAACTCTGTCTCGAAGTTGTGAAGTTATCTGATATGAATATGGACAATAAATTGTTCAAAACGCTATTCAGTGAATAATACTGTTTCACTGTGACATTTCTAATAAACAGACTAAAATGGAACTACTCGAAGTAATTAATATGTGTAAAACTTGGGCACTGTGGTTGATTGTAATTCCATTTTAGTCTGTTTATTAGAAATATCACACAGTGAAACATTAGCATTTACTGGATAACGTTTCGGACACAATTTATTGTCTATATTCATATTGGGTAACTCCACAACTCAATAAGGCTGGGATTAAAGTGGCATTCAAATCAACAAACTCACTTAGAAACAAGCTTTGTAGGTTAAAAGATCCTATCGATGCAATTAGCAAAATAATCTGGTTTACCAGATCCCTTGCACTGATTGTGAGGTCAAGTACATAGGTCATAGCAGTCGACCAGGGTTGATTAGAATAACAGAGCACAAAAACTTAGCTAAATCAAGATTAGTAGGCCCTAATAAGATAAGAAATCTAGAGAAAAACTCTGCTATAGCTCTGCATGTGATGACACACAATCACACAGTAGGGTGGGATAAGACGACAGTGTTGAAAACTTAGTTGGTTGGATGGAGGGGGAGATTGATAACCGAATTTTTGTTTATCGAATCAACACCAAACACATGCAGTAATAGAAATGATTCTGCACCTGTCCCAGATACATGGAGAATTCTACTACCTTTATCATCACAGAGAACGAGAGAAAATTAGGAATATATAAAGACTGTCTCGAAGTTGTGGAGTTACCTAATGTGAATATAGACAATAAATTGTATCCGAAACGTTATCCAGTTTCACTGTGTGGTGTTTCTAATGAACAGACTAAAATGGAATTACTCGAAGTAGTGTTTATATAATTCCTCAATTCGTTAGAGATACTTTCTTTTGTAATACCATGATGAATTCCATATGCTGCTTGGTTTATCTGATAAGTTAATAGAAATGCGTATCGGTATCTTACACCGGATTCTTTCGAATATGCTTCAAACTCCATGGGACAATGTAGGACTTAGATTAAGTATCAAATGGGTAATCAGTAGTAAAAATCAAACACAAAACACTGAATAATCAATTTTAAAGTAAAAGTTTGGTAGAAACTAATACCATTACCAGATTGTCAGGCGTGTTTGAAACGAACTATAAGGTGGATATGAATGAGTCCTCTACCATTCTGTAGCAGATTATCATCAACTTACCGAAAGGTACCTGTCTCAGATTCCAACAAACAGAATTATGTATTCACAAAAAGCAAGTATAGCCGTTACAACTACCTACTATGACCCGATTTGGAGGCAGAAATTTCAAAGCATCCAACCAAGGTAATCTGATTTTCTAATTCCATACTCTAGATACCCCGTCTTTCCAATAATCTGAAACAATTTCAACAAATTCTCTGAACCTATTTTGTCCTTCTTAGTTTATTTTCATCTAACTCTCATAAACACCTTCCCATTGTTTTATTTAACTTATTATCACCTTATAGCATTCAATTATTTTGAATTGGATCCCAGTTACAGTTGATTCTGTCAATAACGTTCACACAAGACTTTTCTGAATTGATTTCCTCGACTGTATAATATTACTAACATCAAAATGATAGGTCTCAGTATTGTTGGCGCATAATTCCTTAATATGTACTTATAATTGTAGGACTTGAAGAAGCAGAAGTTATCGAGAAGAATATTTTTCATTCATTCATCTGACTTTTGAGCTGTACGGGGAATTTTTAATAATTCTAAAACAGATCAAATAGTCTTGAACGAACATGGAATTGAATAAGTGTTACGCAGCGACAAAAGGCAGCCAATAAGGGAGTTGTTTTCAAGTCATGATTAGATCGTGTTCAGGTTGTGCTTTATGCATGCGATGACGTGAGAACCTGATTGAAGAAGTTCGACCTCATACAAGAAATCGGATTGGTTCATTTATGGCTTCACTTTCTGAGAGTTCTGTAAATACATATATGTCATGTATTTGCTCAATAGGAGTTGTCACTGTTCTTGCAGTCACAGACAGTCTTTGTCTTCTGGTTTTGCCGCGGCTCAGTGAAGCAGAAGGTACTGGGGGAGGTCAGTCATAAAGGTATTCGGTTGAGGTGTCTATTGAGTCTCAGTATTCATTATACCCACGCGCAACCCCACCACTCGGTCACAGCAATAAGCATGTTGAAAGGTGAATAATATGTGAGAGAATTTTTCAGGTGAATTTAAACCGTGGTATAATGAACAGGTAATTTCGTGTAACTTTGGACTCCTGGCCTGGTGGATTGCTGACTGCTGCACAAGACCCAGCTGACGATCATGTTTCGATTTCACTCAAATCAGCTGTAGGCCAAAGCGTTCCTTCAAAATCGTTACCATACTGCCTGCTATGTGCTTTCGTTTAGTTTATCCTCAGATAACTAGTGCTTAGGTGATGCAGGAAAGAATCTCTGGTCTAGTTTACTAACTACCGAAAGGTAGGAAGGAAACTGAAAATCATTAAAAAAAATGACATTCAGACTTACCAGGTAGAATGGAGATAATCCTTAGCCTTATATTATTCCCCTCCAGTTTAATTATTGTTAGAGTAATTTGATTTGAAAAATTGAGGATTGGTAGGGAAACTGAATCGTTACCAGTATTTCCGAATGCCTTTTTCGTTGGCTTTTTAAGGCTGACATATTTCATTGCAGAGATTTCTGAAGTTTTCCCAGATACTATCAGTTGTTTATTTGGCTGAGATGGCTTATCGGGAAAAAAATTCGTTGATCTTAGGATGAGAGTAGAATGGTTAGGAAAAAAACACTTTAGAACTTATGTTATATTCGGTGTTATTTGTTGCATACAACAAAACTAAAAACGTGTCCTTCGTTTGCAATGTATGAATGCTAGTTTAACTACTTAAAAATGTATAAGTAGCATGAAGTTTTCTGGTTAATTTATCGATGCGTATGGCTTTTTTGTGACTTTGGCAGTGATAAGGATTGGTATAAGAGTATTAAGTATCGATTACTAATTTTCTACCAATCATTTGCTTTTTACAGGACAGTAAGGCACTGCCAGGGAAACAAGTTAGCAAGTAAGTGATGAAGACAAAATTTCATTTGGTTTGTGTTCTTAGAATGTTTTTCTTTCTTTTCAGGATGTCTAAAAAAAGAAAGCCGAGAAACTTCTATTTGACCACTCTGGAACTGTAAGAAAATGCATACTATCTTGAGCATTATGAACTGGATGTTCAAGTGGAATGATGTTGTAATTTAGATTTTCCTTATTTTTAAAACTGTACTTGCAGGATGTAATTTTAGTAATCGTATAAAGTGAAAGTCTGAGTAACAAATGAAATCGGTGTTCAATTTTTTCAGAAAAGATCCCTGAAAACAAATAGCAGAATCATTGATTTGCGACTCAAACTAGGGTTATCCCACCTATGTGGAGGGAATTTCATCCAATATATACGTTGATGGTCGCTGAAGGTCAATCAGTTTTATGTTATCTAGTCGTGAGTGCTGATCCAATTCTGTGTATCTTTTTGATATGTGACCACCAAGCTAGGAGTCTCAGCTTTGTAGTGAACTTAGATAGATATTAGTTAATAAGAGGGATCTACTGGAAGCCCTTGACGTAGGTCTCATGGTTGTTGGCACTTGTAATCCAGAGGAGTCTTCGGTTTCGACGGTACCGATGCCCCTGCCAGAATTGGAAGCCTTGTCCCTTAGTGTTACAGTCAGCGACACATTGATTGGTCACTGGAGGTCAGGCAATTTTGTGTTGTCTAGTCCTGAGTGCTGACCTAGCTTGGTGGCCACATTGACAAATGATCAGTGGAATTCGGTCATCACATAAGACTGGGAAACTTGAAATAACCTACAGTGACCAGTCAATGTATCTAATCCAGCCCTGCAGGAGGTCGACTGCAGTCCGAATAGTCGAGTGGTAACTTCGCTGAGTGCAATACTAATTGTTGTGGGTTCGGATCTCAGAGGGGACATCACTTGCCTCGAGGTTACATATACGCCTTGCTGACGAGTGCCAACAAGTACGAAACCTAGGTCCAGAACTTCCTTTCGATTGCCCCTGGCCAACTGACGTCATCCGATATATGGTGTCATAAACTGCTGAAAATAAATGACCATAGTAAACACAACGGGATCTTAACTTTTAGATTCATATCTCACTGTTTAAGTAGTCCGAAAGTAGTTTATACAAGCCAAATTAGAGTGGGATAAGTTTCAGGGTGGTATTATTCGCTGACAATAATCTGTCGTTTCGGCAAGTACACCCACAAAGTCATTACGTTAGCCTTCAGCAGTTAATAAGCAGTAAATTAGTGTTCGGAAAAGAAATTTTTGTTCTTACTCGTTAGGGTATGTTCTTACTGGTGAATACCTAAGTAATCAGTTGATCCAGTCTAGATACGTATTACATCTACGCTTCATTGTTACCTTGTATATGTTTCAACAGACTATTCTGTATGTAGGTTCGACGACACTTAATCTATTTACGTTGAATCCACTGTAAGCTTATGTGAATCGGAATAGGAAATCCTAAATTGGAAGCCATTGTCATGAGAACTGAACATTTCATCCTTCTGAGTTCTCTGTTCAGCCTGTCACGAAACTCCCTGATTGATGTACGGTTAAAGTTATGTCAACTGATAGATATTGTAAGTTATTTTATTGAATAAATAGTTAGAAGTTTTAGCTGGTATCCATCGAAATCTGTGATCTCAAAATTCATTCATTGCAGTACAGAAATCTGTTACTTCTAGGGTTAAACTAGATGAACTAGTCGCTAAAACACTATTAATATACACTTATTAATCATCAGCGAATAAGCAGTATATATTACTTTATCTTCAGAGATGACTAGAATCTATAGATTTAACCAGCAATATGGATATAAAGTTGAAAAGCATGTCATTAATATAATCCTTGTTTGACGTACTGTGACTTGAGGCAATAGACGGAAAGTCCCAACCAATAGTTGGTATTTTGGTGTGAACGTTGGGATTGTATATCACAATGATTCGACTATCTATGCTAGTGGACCACTTGCTCCCTGGAGATCTAAAAAGGTCTATTGTGTTGTGGTAAGATAAAAAGCAGTTACCATGATAAGAGTCTGGGGGCGAGGTCACACTGTTGCTATCTCGATGGAATGTGACAGCGATTCCGAACTGATACTGCCTTCTGTGTGGGAAGGGAAAGGGTTACAAAAGGTTTGCCCCGAAAATAACAAACCCCACCATACCCTACGGTCTTCTGGGGCCAGTAATATAGGTTCTCTATATCCGGACGAGTATATTGTATTACAGTCCGTTCTGTCATGTCGTACGGTTGTGAGACATCGCCGTTAAATGTTAAAGCTATGAAGCGATTGGAGGTGTCTGATAGTAGGAGTTTTCGTAGCACTGTTTGAATTCGGTGGAATCACCGTGTGAGCAATGTTGAGGTCAGGTGAAGAGTACTAGCCAAGTCGATTGATGAAGGTGTGAACTCTAGTCGACTGAGATTGTCTGGACATGTACTGAGCATGCCAACCCACTGTCTACTTCAGCTGCTATACTAGAAGTTGGATTTGATATGAAGAGGCTAGGAACCAGCATCAGTCGATGAAGTCTTCGACTCTCGATCTGAGTCGTGTGGGGAGATGTGTACTTCCTGGTTGGGGTCACCGAGACGAAAGGAGCCAGTGGTTGATAACTCTTTGTCACAATGGTGCATATGTATTCACCCCCTAGTTTCTTCCAAGGCTTGAATGTTTAAACTAACAATTGTTGTTTATTCTCCCACAGTACTTCGTCTACTTTTATATGAGCCTTTTGATATCCATCTGTTTTTTGTGTACTACTGTGAAGTGTGGCAACCTGAGATGGTGCACTTGTGTTCCAGGTTCTACGTTGAGATTTGTCAGTCAGTCAGTTAGTTAGTTAGTTAGTTAGTCAGTCAGTCAGTCAGTCAGTATGTTAGTTAGTTAGTTAGTCAGCCTTGAACATTGGTTTTGCTCCTGTTGCTATCATCACGAAGGTCAAATATGCAACTATTTGGGAGATAAAAACCCACTTTAGCCAGTATCGTGGTCATGATGACTAATTCAAAGTTGTTCATACCTTCAGAGAACTGACATTATACACCAATAAGTTTACCTGTCGTAGAAATATGATGTAGACATTACTGATTGATTTGATTGAGTTCTTTCAATAAAACAAAGAAAGTCAATATGCAAGTTTCTTAGCATAGAAACTGTATCTCTTTTATCACCAGCATGTAATGTCCCGTAGAATATAGATCCGTACTAAAATGAAAAGTGATTGATAACAAAAAAGCAAGTTAGATTTCAATTAATTTTAAATAAATATCCTCACAGATTCACCAACCATCACAAGGATGTATCCACAAAAATGAATGGCTTTTGGAAAAAGTAAAAATTTTCGAAACTACTGCCAAATACACCAGGTATAATGGGAATGGATTTTAGATGACATCTAAATATGATTCTTTTTTTTCAGCGTGAGTTGTATTCTGAAGTATTGTTTAGATAGGCGGACGTTTCAGTGCTGCGCTAGACATCATCATCAGTGCACCAGAGCTTTGCAAGGAGATGAAGTGATCTGTTGTGAATGGATATTTTTATGTTGCCAGTCTGTATGAGGGTAATCTGACTGGTTGCTAGGTAAGTGCGTGGGAGTATGCTGAACCAATTATATAGATGCACAACCCTCTCAAAAGATTTGAGGAAGAAAGTTAGACAATTAGATTCAGCGTACGCCTATGTTCTCAAATGAGATTCAATTCAGGCAAACTAACACTGATAATTTCCGTGCCTAATCACTTAATTCACTTCCTTGTGAAGGTTTGATGCTCAGAGGGGAACTTAATTTAAACATTCGAACCACGAGCAAGAAATATATTCAACAGAATTTCTGTGATTAATTTTGTTGTTTGACGTCCTACTATCTTGAAGCTTTATTCTTTGAATACAACGAAAATTGTTTTTTTTTCTCACATTTTCACCTTCTCAGTTTGGAATATTCTATGACAGGATATTGAAACTAATGCGTAAGAGAAAATTACCCAACCGTGAAATTACATTAACAATTTGGTAGTGAATATTCAAGTGTTTCACTGATAAGAAATGACATATGTTTAGTTTGTAAATTAATACCATCTATGGAAATCGAACGAATAATTGTGAATGAAGCAATTAGACTAGATCTCATTTGTGAATCACTAGATCAACTTTTCTCAAGGTAAAAAGTGGTGAATCCATTGAACTCATGAGATCATTAAATAATGATGAATTATAATACCTCAAGTTGTTATTCATCGAAGACTGACATCAGTTAGAGGAACAAAGGAAACCTGGGAGCACTGGACAGCTGTTTCGTCCTAGTATAGGACTCCTCAGCAGTGCGCACCCACGACCCCACCAGCAGGGATCGAACCCGCGACCTTCAGGTTCCGCGACCAGCGCGTTACCATTGAGCCACTGGGTCAGAATCCAATGCTCCATATTTCCAACTTCTGTTAGCTCACGATATAGCGCAGACCGCCACCCAATGTCATCGTTGAGTATTTGTCCTCACGGCCATCAGGCTTTGACTCCACCGGTCACGACTTGTCATTGGAACTTCGGGAATACCTCTCGAAGCTAGTCACCAACGAGCACTAGTTCAATTAGATTTTGAGGGGTTGTGGAGATTTGGAATTATTTCAAGTTGTTATTCATCGAAGACTGACATTAGTTAGAGGAACATACTAGGACGAAACAGCTGTCCAGTGCTCCCAGGTTTCCTTTGTTCCTCCAACTGATGTCAGTCTTCGATGAATAACAACTTGAAATATTTCCAAATCTCCACAACCCCCTCAAAAATTATAATAACGTTTATTTCACGATAGTAGGCGAGAGAATTCAAGACATGAATTCGATGCTATATGGAACATTTCAGTTGTAGGTACGAAGTAGATACAGAACTAAACTCAGACGACTTCATTTCTTAGTGTTACTGTCTCAGGATTATTCATATTTGTCCGTTGGGTTCCTAGTGGGATAGAGGACTTCAGTAGCACGTCACCATTTCACTCTCTTCTCAACCTGGCTCCACCACTGACCACAAGTTTTCATTCCCTCCTCACACCATCTCCTACATGTCACCCTCGACTCAGATGCCCAACTCGTAGTTTCCCCTTTGGGTTCCACTCAACAGCCTGACCTGCTGCGTGAAGTCCCAAAATGATCTCCTCAGTGTATGCTCAATCCAGTCCATCTCCACTTTCTCCTACTGCATGTTAATTTGGCGGTAGGTTCTTGATTGGTTTGTTGTCAGCTGGGCAGGCGAGATTTCCTTATTGTTTATTCGTCTTAGTCTGGCCATCTGATCTCCATTGTCAGTATCGAGTGAGCGTAGGTGGCAGCTGTTCATATGATGTATGTCTGTAGTTTGTTGTAAATGCTTTTCGTAACACGCCAAGTCTCTGAACCATCACACAGAAGCACTGACTGACTTGACTGACATTAGTGTTAAAAATCTGAATCTTGTTCACGATTTACGCTGAGTGCTGAAGTAATGGTGAAATCAAGAGAGGTCATGTTATATTACTACAATGTGTATTGGACAGGTAACAATAGTCTGATGTTGAATTATACTGTCAAAAATCAAACGCCTATTCACTACCAATGAAATTTGTGATTCAGATTGCATAAAAGTGGATCTAGGTTTCTTGAGATCCACTACCATTTGCTTGAAAAATGTACAATAAAGAAGTCTCAGTAATACCTACGTACTTCTGAATAAGTTTTTTGTTAGCTTTAAGAACTAGTGGGATATTGATAGTGGTAAACTTAAAACGTATCTGAAGAAACTCGATTGATATACGTTGTGTGTTGTAAACCCTTGAAGGATGAGTTAGCAAGCCTAATCAACCTACCGGTTGCATGTCAAATCAGTGAAGTCGTAATGACTTAGTTAATAAAAATGTTTTGAATTTGCAGGCTTGTGGGGATTTATTTGTTGATTTTAGCCTACTATTCATCATGGACTGACTTCATATTGAGGATTGTTGAAGGCCTGAGAGCACTGGACTATTCAGAGGTGAGCACCCATGAGCTTACCTCTCCAGGGGTCGAACGGAGGACCTTCAGGTCCCGTGGCCAGCAAATCGACATTGAGCCATTGCGGATCAAGAAAGATACTTAACGATGGCATTGGCTAGAGGTCAGACTATACCAATTAAACGCACTGGGTGCGCACTGTTGAGGAGTTCCATATTAGGACAAAATAGCTGTCCGATGCTTGCAGGTTACCAATAATCCTCAAAATGAAGTGAGTCTATGATGGATACTAACCTGAAATCAAGAAAATTTTCCCGTAGCACATTTTTATGTTCATAGGCACCTTAAATATAGATACAAACTTCTATGAGGAAGTACTGATGGTGGGATTTCCTCGGGTAACTTTCTGTTTGAAGACAAGGATCATAAAGCGCAGTTTTGGAGATCCCAATATTATCCCTAGTCTCTTGTTATCGCTTGCTGAACATCAAATTTACTTAAACTTCAAACCAGTAACTGAATAACCTACAGGGTCGTGAAAAGTTATGCAGTGAACTTTATTCCTTGGAGTTTGACAAATGCAAATGACTACGATCAACTGTCATAACAGCGACTCACTACCTGTAAGTAGTTTACAGGTAATAGAACCTTCAAAACATTTCCAGACTGCGTTTAACTGTTTACGGTTTACCGACATGAAAACACAATTATCGTATAAAGATAATGAGAATGTCGGAGAAATTTTGTGATTCTCTTAACTCCAACAAGTATTCATCGCAATAAGATACATACTTGAGATTCAGATTAGTGTGTATCAATGAGAATTAGTTACTCAAACTGGCTACTAAACTGGCTATTCCATTATTAGGCTCCTTCAAATAATAATACAGAAATTGAACTGACCTTGTAGTGCATTTCGTAAATTCCGCATTGTTTTAAATGATTCATTTGAATATTGAACACAGAACAGAATTCTCCATCATTGTTCTGATTTAAATGACACAAGAAGGTTGATAGTTTGCGGGATGAATGATTCATCTCTCTTTCAATAAATTTAGGATATATTGATGAAGATTGTAAGTAAACTACAAAAGTCTCCGATGAAGAATTTGTTGGTATTGATGACGGTTTGTAGGGATTTTTATAGCAAATATTGATACGTTCTCGGTTACATGTAACTTGAACTGAGCAGAAAGGTTGAAACAAAGCACAAACAATCATAGTTATGTAGTAAAATGGTGGATATCAAGACTTTTGTGCTGATCTATTAATTGTGCACGCGGAAATCAGTTGTCATCCTACCTAATGTATTAAGGATGTTAAGTGGCTAGCAGTGAAATCAGAGACGCGGTATTCGTCCTGTTTGGGACTTGCCAACTGGATATATCTGCATCTCAGTGAGTGATTCTGTTCCCACTGAGACTTGACCCCAGGACCGATCGGTTCAAACGTCAAAGAGTTATCCACTAGATCGCTGAAACGCGACAGCCACCACGTGTGCAACTCATATCAATTGTTACTAAATGGTACTTGTAACTTTCCGCTGCTACGCTTGGTCAAATCTGGCGTGCAGGTATATCCAGCTAACGAGTCTTGAACAGGTCGAAACAAAATTTCTGGATTCCACTGCTAGCATGGTAATCCAGGCATTTGATGTACGTTTATTATTGCTATCATTATTATTCATGCTACTCATTATTTGCTCCTTTCTCATATTTCTTATCTCTCTACAATTAATTCGCTAACATATTTTTATGTCAATAATTACCTGATTTTAAATAATCTTATTTGCGAATAAGCACTGTACTTTTAGACTATATGCAGCTGAGGAGTATTCATGAATTAAAATGATGATATTATTTTATTGTTCAGTTCTTGTTTCTTTTGTAATATACTATTCTTCATATAAGATCTGAAAGAAATAAAACGTGAGTTTTTGTGTGTTGTCTATAAGGGCACAATGTTTCAGGTATTTTTCCTATTCTATAGCCTGAAGGTAGACAGAGAGGTAACTGCTGTTGAAAAGGATGTTTATCATTGGATGGAATAATTGCGGCTAGCTGTTTAGAAAAATTAGGACACCTTACAGCATTTATGTTTATCAGTAAGGTCAATGAGGCAATACTGACTAGCTCTATTCACAGTCTTCGAAATCCTGTGAAATCCTGCATAATCTTTACTCTGTAATATAGAAAAGAATAAGGTTGAACAGTGCATAGGAATAGGTGAGCTGCAGGAATTAGTGAAGTATGATAGTAGAAGCTGAGTTATGCCACGAACTTGCCGCTTCCTTATATTCAAGGTTAAGCGAATAGTTTCCGACGAAATCATTATAATATGAGAGAACTGAGGAAGATAAAACGAGAAGCATGAATCAAATCAATCATAATTCTTATTTAATCTGTACTGCAGGACCATGAATGAATTAATAAGCATGAGAGAGAAGCAGTTCTCTCAAGGCTTTTTCATACATTTTCAGTTGAAGTTAGCCATTTGACATTTAAAGGGATTATTTGTGAGTCCAGTCAATGAAGACCAATGCCCATTTTTGGTTAAGAAATCATCCGAAGAGAAGATAACCGGCATGGACACTGTAAGGTTAACCGCATACATAATGAAGTTAGTTTTAGCTAAGAAAGATATGTCATGAAACAAAGAGAACAGAAAAGAAATAACAGAACCTTGGCGCATAACACCTTCATTAAGTAGCGAAGTATGTAAAGTGTTCTGCATTCTCTAAGAAAAATAAGGATAAACCTAGTTTGAAATATGTGTTTTGGCAAGCTAATTCAATAAAACAGGTCCAGAGATAGAGTCAAAAGTAGATCTGATGTACTTAACACGTTTGAAAAGAGTGAAAATAATATTGTCACATAATTAGCTGAGGCATCTAAGGCGCAATCCTTCTTGGTTTATAGACAAACTGATTTTGATCACCTAAAGCTTCCACTAGACCCCCAGGCACATATTTGTCATGTTGCATTTGCTTAGAGATAGGAAATGATCAAGATATGAAGCTATAAATTAAACTGGTTACAATCTGGTTAGTAGTTTTTAAATATACTTCAGCTGTACAACATGCCAGTGAAAGCCAGTGATGTTAACTGACCTTTCCTTCAACCTCTAGTTGTGTAATGGTCTTAGGGTTACAAATAAGCTCTGCTAATGGGTAAGTAAAAACAAAATATTCGACTTTCAAGACTTCCTCTCTATATATCCATATATTCTACATAATGATGTCACATCACTTAGCTCATTGGTAGTATTGGATAATATCATAGTTAAAGTTCTGTCAACACTATAGGAAGTAACACCGAAACCACACGGAAGAACAGTTACTTATAGGGTAGGAAGAAAGGAAACTTTGCAGAATGTAGGTTTCATACTTACCGGCACTCGTCAGCAATACTCCCCATAACCTCAAGGATACTAACGTGCCATCACAGGTTCGAAAACCGCGTCACTCACTACTGCAGTCAGAGACGTTACTACTAAGGTACAAATTTCACAAATTAAACTCTTTTAATTCATATGAAATTTTCTGTGAACTAATTGTGGACAAATTTTAAGAGAATAGGAGAAGTAGTTAGCCTAATGATCACTATTAACCAGTAATATAACGAAAGTTCATGAAATTTTGTAAGGTAAAACCGTAGCACAGTCATCATTCAATGTTCAATCACTTAATATTTAACGTTAATTTTAGCTAATTAAAGTTATACGAATACTAAACTTACTAAATTGCTTTGTACAAAGTTCGTCCTTCTTATTAAAACCTGGAAATTGTTGTATATGGCTAAATTGACTCAATTTAGTATTAGATATTTTCATATTTTGCTTGAAATCATTTTCAGAATTTATTTCTTTGGGTTTTATGCATAAATTATTTGAACATGGATATTTTTCAGTTAAAGGGGATATATTTTGTTTAAATAATGGGCATACACAGCCATATCTCATTGTTGTTATGTTCAATGATCCACGATTTAAATGATAACATTTACCTTGAGATTTAAAACAACTTTGACAATCAGATATCAGTGAATTCATTTCTTCTGTAACTTCAAAAGTAAATATGTTGGTTGATGAAATGAGAAAGAGAATCATTTTATCGGATAAGTAGTAATTTAATATTAGAGGTAGTATTCATCATAAACTGACATCAGTTGGGGAACAATTAAGAATCTGGAAGCATGGAACAAGTGTTTCTTCTTAGTATGGGACTTCTCAGTGTTACGTACCCATGACCCGGCTGGGGGATTGAACACAGGACCTTCAGGTTTTACGGTGAACGCGTTAATTATCCAGCCACGGGGTCGGTTTCCGGTGGTTCACAGTTTCCAACTTCTGTCAATTCATGATAAAGCGTGACTATTATCGAAGGTCTTCAGTTGGCATCCACTTCCCTCCCGACTGGCTGCCCCCACAGGTCAGGGCTTCTCACTGGAATTTCATGATACCCATCTGGAAGCATGTCACTAATGAGAACTCTACAGTTATTTAATACCTGAATATCATGACCGATTTCCTTCTCCATGAGTAGACATCTATCTTTGCTACCACACAGTGACTAACATCGTGTACGTATGCGTGCGTGTAATCTATCTATCCATTTGACAGGTTTGACAGCTTAGTATCAAAATCTTTGATCTCACCACATAGTAGCTTAGGTTTAGTAGACATGCATTTCTTTAGGATTACCCCTGGGTGTTAAAACACCCAGGGTCTGGTTCCAACAGTTTTGCTAAATGTCTCCTGGCATCTAAAACCAAATGCAGTACAGGTGAGTGATTAAATTACAATTCTGATCGTCAGATTTTATTCAGCAACTTAGACTGCATAGTAAGACCTTTTTTATACTCAAGCTACCAATCCATTTGATATATAGTTTCTTGTTAAGATATTCAATCGAATATGTTAGTTTGAAATGATAATTTAGCATCAGCTTGTTTAGCTAAATTCAATTTATCCTTTTTTCTACTGTCATAAGCATAGTAATCAAGAAATGACCCTACTTAAGTCTAACTAATCCATCAAATTCTTTTGACTATATTAAATGGCTTAGAAAGCCTGAATTAATTTTTGGATTATATGTTTTCTAAAAATTTGTTAATTAAAACTGATTACTCCAGATTTACCAATTGTTTTCTTTTCATATAGACAAAAACAAAACAAAAACAGGAGTACAAGTTTAATGATTTTATTTGCCTCACATTATTTGAAGCTAACGCTTAACAAATATAGTTGAGAGAATTTATGATAACTAGTGTTGATTAAAAGTTATAATTATTATTGAATATTGAATGACCTTCAAAAGTAAAAATGGCTGTATTTTATCATGTATGAGATTATCTGAGATAGCTGTTGTTTGGTAGACTGATATTATTGATAAAAAGTGATAGTTGAAGTTGGAGTGAAAATCTCAGTAGTCACCTTCGGGTTATTGACTTGATGCAACGCCAACTAAGCTGAGGGAATCACCTGCTGATCACATCTAAATCGCACTAAAATCACCAAGGCATTTTTCTCAGCTGTCATATCAATTCATGATACGTAACTGTTTGTTCATTGTAATCTCATTGACTACCTTTTTAGGTCTCTAATTCAACCATTTTCTATATGGAAATATCACTAAATGAATCTACTTTACGAATTTCGTTTAGTCTTTATCTGAGATCATGAGAAGACTTGGGTGGTAAGGAATGATGCACAGACAGTCATCATTCTCCTTGACCTTTCTTGGCGGTTTAACAATTTTTTTATTTGTCTACCAGTGTCATCAGTAGTGAAGATCCACAACTCTGTCTTCAGCAATAAAGGTTCTTGATGAATGAATTACCAGGTATTTAAGTGGGATTATAGCTCAGTGGTTTAGTGAGTTTACTTTCAACTGATGGGTCTGGAGTTCAAGTACCGCTCCCCTTACTGAAGTTTAGGCACCCAAGTAGTATCACTAGCTGTCACGCAACAGGTGTGGCTCATTGGCTACTGCACGAGTGTGCACATGGTTGCTGAGTATCTTCTGATTTGATTCATGTGACTGTTTGCCATCCATTAGTTAATCCATGATGTACAGCAAACACCATCTCATATTACTTATAGAAGTTCATCCTTATCCTAAATATTAAGTCAGACATCTACTCAAAAAGAACGCCTCCGAGTACATCAGAGCTACATTGAGATAAACCTATCAGTAACCATTGTATACATCTGAATTCAGTTGCATAAAAGGCCTTATTCGTATACTAAAGTTCTTTCAGCAAATATTTATGAAGCTGTTTGATATAGATATGTTGTTCATGCTTGGTTATCACTGAAGGTGGATTAAAAACCATGGTCTTGGCAAGATTCAAATCAATGACATTTGTATAGGAGTTTGGCACTAAACCAACTAAACTATGAGGCCCAGCTACTAACCAGGTTGTAGCATTGCATTTTATTGTCACTGAGATTTTTATTTCACCCCGTATTGTAGTGGGCGCTACTGGATGTCGGAGGAGGTCATAAGCCATTATTAACGATTTGTAAATATTCTGCCCAGAGAAACGTGAAAGACACTGTGGGCGTATAAAGGGCAAAACGAGATAGAAGAAAAAGAAATGAAGTATATTTTGTAAATGACTATGGCTAATGGAAAGTGTACAATATTTCATCAGTACTGCACAAAATATTCTCTTCTGTGTCTTATCCTTTGTCATTTTCTTTCAATACCTATAGTACCAGTTTGCGATATGGATTTTGTACACACATGTAATGAAAAATTTACCTTGTCCTTCATAGAGTTCGTACATCGATAAGTCAATATGAGAATTACCAACCGGTTTTCTAATGCTTCAAAGCTAATACATTTATACTGGGTGATGATTGAAGGTGAAATGGAAATTTGGACCGCGACCTGATTAAAACCAGCGACCACCATGTTTCCGGCCCGATGCTCTGTCAACTGAGCCATGAGATAGTGTAGAATATTTGTAGCTCAGGTGGATGGTCTTGGTTATATTGTGTTCTCTGGGCTGGGTAGCTTAATCGTGACGCCTTCATCGTCTTTCTAGGCGACATCATCAGCAATAACTTCATACTGAAGTTGGCTGGTCAGATTTTTATTTAACTCCAACCAGCAAAGGTTTTGCTCGGCTACCATGTGAGTTCGTGATGCGTTACTACCGCCTGATCGTACTCACACTGTCTGTCTATTCAGGGCTTCTCATCCCATTCACATGGTAGTTGGGCAAAACTCTTGGTGATTGAAGTTACATAAAAATCTGATCAGCCAGAAGTTAGACCTCGTAGCTCAGTTGATAAACCATCAATACGGAAAGACAGTGGTCTCTGGTTTGAATCCAGACGCCATCCAAATTTTCATTTCACTTTCAATCATCACCCACTAGTCTGCCAAACAGCGGCTGTCTCAGATAGTCAAAATGGTAATCAACATTGTCCTGCAAATAGCTCACTGGCGACCTGTCTAACTTCAGGATTGAATGATGAGTGTTCGAAGGTCGGAGGGGACATCACTTCCCTTGAGATATCAGATACGCCTTATTAACGTCTGGCAGCTAGCATGGAACTTAGACGAAGCAGAACTTCCTTTCAGCTACTTTCAACTAACGGAGAAATGTTATGAGACTTTTTTAAGTCTTATAACAAAACTTTGGGTGTAGTCCACTGAAATAATAATAATGTGGTTTCCATGAGTTTTGCCTTCCATTGATTTCATAAAAATCAGTTTATGGTCAGTGTATTTTAAAGCATCGTCGAAATCACTCATTCTTGTAAATTCACGATTACATCACAAATTTCATGGATACTGTGAGAGTTACGCAATCAGGTGCGACGTGTGTTTTGATAGCAAGTGAGTGTAATATTGGGTTCATATTAAAAAGGGCACAGATTTTTGTTCAGACCAATAAAGACTAATGAGATTGTCATCAGCCTCCAGTTTAACCGAAGTCATCTAAAATGTGTTAAGTAATAAGTTTTGGGATTTCAACGATATAAACTATACAGTCAACTAAAAAAGTTGATTTTTACAATAACACTCGTTACATGAAAATGCCTAGATGGTATAAGGAACTGAACTTCAAAATCACTTTTTTTTTACTTACAACATTCAAAATAGTCCATATTTTTCTGATAAACAGGTATCATTCCTTCACTACAAATGCATATATTTAAATGTTGACTTCTTGCCGATTGTGATGAATAAACGTCCACTTGTGATATACCATTTTCAATATATTCAGATTGATGTCCATATGAAGTTTGAAAACAAATGGCTGCCTGACTCAAGCATAGTCTATTGACATGATTACATTCTTCTCCAATATCAGCTGAATAAGATGTGAACAAAAATCTAATTTACAGTTTAGAGATAGAACGAGGTTAGTATCAAGCTTAATAAAACACAAAACCCCTGTAATCGTCCTTATAAGCTACCTATCTTATCTATCATTTCATGAAGATAGAATGTTAGACAACTGGAATAGATCTCAGTGCCCATTTAGGACTTGATTCCTAATTGCATCGGTTATCATGCAGCTACTGACTTGTTAAAACAGTTTTAATCTTGAAGAGAATTAGTTAAGGTGTTAAATTTCAGGACTGAGTGGTTTAATGTTGTTGTTTATATTATCTTGTCGTTGAGTGAGTCGAATTGATCGGTCTTTATCGGTAGATGGCCTACTACACGGATGCCTCGATATTGCCTGTATTTGATTGATATATTAGTGATAGATAGTAAGTGGAAGTGGAATATATGAGGCGTTTTTCGTCCTACACTACAACTATACCCGTCGTGCAAGAATTGGCTATCATGGCTAGGTGGTGTAGTGTATAGAGCTTCAGCATTTGAAGTGGTCAGCCCCGGACTGGAGTCCTAGTGAGGACATCGTCGCTCACTGGGGGGCAGGTACACCTGAATGACGAGTCCCAAATAAGACGAAACGCGCGTTCTGGATTGAACTGCTAGCCACTATCCATCAGCAACGTATCACTAAGTGGTTTACGTTAGATTTCTCAAGGGACATTCGTTACAACTTTGGCGTGGATGTTTATAATAGACAATATGTTTATTACGATTTCCCGGAAGCTCTAGGCATCAAACATTTTCAACCCGACAATCATTCCTGCTTTATTCACTTTGTTTTTCTTGTAATTGGCAATTTTACTATTTCCATAACTCATAAACACTTTAAAGTTTTCTAGCAAAATTGGGGTAGTCGATCAGCATTCATCAGTATTTGTTGGTTGTTTCAGTTAGAATTCATTCATAAGATCATTGACCGGTGGTATGATTTTTCTGTTACATCATGCCAATCAGATATGGACATTACCATTATAAATCTAAACAGCGTAATGAGAAGACGAAGATTATCTGAAACATGTGATGTATTAGCGCTATACATTTCGAACAATCTGATCACACATGGACTTGTTGAACTATTTATATGAAAATTTACGAAAAGGTCAATGAAGTTAATGGGAAACATAGGAATAGGAAGGGATAGAAAAAAGGAAAACCTTATTCTTGGTATGAAAATTAAAACCAATACTACCAAGGTAGGTTCAACGTGAGTACAAATTGTTTTTGTATACATAAAGGGGGTTTAAATTTACGGATGGCAAGAGCTTCAATAAATTTAAGCACTCGGCTCTGACCACTTTTATGTAGTACTTTAAAGGCTGTTTTCATGTCTATCCTATGGTTAGTTTCTAGTATATGTTTAGCGATAGACGAAGATGGATGTTTGTCACCTGCACTTATCGGATCTGTTGAGGTCATTTGTTTTTGTAGCCACTTAGGTACATGTTCAGCCTTCCTTAACTGCATATCACGATTACTCCTCCCTATATATGTATGTCCACATATACATGTAAATTGATAAACACAGTGGGATGTGATGTAATCGTTTATATGTTGTTTTGGTTTGTGCTGTAACATGGACTTGGTCTTCTCTACAATGATGACCTTAGCTACATAATACGTTTTACAGATGGCCGATCTAAGTCTTTTCCTCACAACAAAGCTATGTGAATCACCTCTAAATGGTAATGAGATGTAGACATTTATCTTAGCAACGGAACACTGTATACTTTTCAATGGTACATAACTTTTGCACCGGTCGATAAATCTCAACGGGTATCCATTCTGTATCAGAGTTGTCGTCAGTAAGTTGGTTTCTTCCTCCCTGGTGTCATCGGTGCAGATACGGTTTATCCTGTTGGATAAGCATCTGATCAGATTGTTCGAAATGTATAGCGCTAATACATCACATGTAGGAAAAGAACAACACACCAAGGGGATGCAAGGTGAACCACAAACGCCTCCTGTACACATAAGTTCAGTTTCAGTCGATGGATTGCTGTTGCTTCCACCCAGCGTAGCAATCTACTATTGCTTATTTTATTGATTACCTTAGAAGCTACGTTTGATCGATAGCATGACATGTATCGAGGATTCGCTTGGCAATGGCGCTGCTTGGTAGCTTTCTACCTCTCAATGATAGGCTTTACGGTACATGTTCAGAGATTCGTTTAGTAAGGACCTTCTACGTTCTTCCGACATATATGTTACTGCAAGTATAGGTGAATAAATAAATACAATTGGAGGTGACATGAAGAGGTCTCATATCTAAATTGGTTTCTTTCATCATGTTCTTCGTGTTATATACAACTATTAATTTCCCAGCTGGACAAGTTAGTGCGATGGATGGATACAAACGGTGTTTAGTTTGTGAAGTCAATTCATCACTTTTGAAGGGTAGTAGTCTAATGAACATGTTCTTTCTCGTCATCATTGTATCATTCACCTTCTAATTTTGAAGTTAAAAGTGTTTTTATTGATGAATTTTATGGGATATCCATTATCTAACAGTGTTTTTTGTATAGTATCAAGTTCATTTTCAATAATTTCTTTGGAACATAATCTGGAAGCCCTTGAAAATAAAGTCTTAACTAAATTTCTTTTATAAACAATTGGATAGAAACTATTAAATTGTAAATATTAACTGATCCAAGTAGGCTTATGATAAATTCTGTACAGTATAGAACCGTCTTCATTTCTTAAAACACTTAAATCCAAGAAATTTAATACATTAACGTTTCATGTTCACATGTGAATTTCACATCTGAATGCATTGAATTGAAAGATCTGAGTAGGTTCACTGGATGAACTTCACTGTCACATATGACGAAAGTATCAACAATATAGCTTAAATACAATTCTGTCTCCTTTATGGTATTCTCTAGGTGGTCTATGAATATGTCTACGAAAATTGGACCAATAGGACTCCCTGTAGACATACCTTCTGTTTGTCTGTAATATGAATCACTGGTAAGGTATTGTTAGTTTTGTACTGTAACCAACGAATAAAAATGCACTCCACAACGATATGTATGTTTGTGGAGCAGGCAATACGCAATGTATAAGTATGTGGACTAGTGATGCTACTCGATTGCCCGAACCTCGATAGATTGAAGAAGACTGGAAACGGAGACCCTCCTTTTGAACGACAGCTGCTAAATATAAGTGTCAACTGCACACATCGTAACTGTCTTCTTTAAAATTGTTATTAAGATGGGTAAACGTTGTTTTTTTCAACCGGGTCTTGAACTAATACAGTATATGAAATCAAAATCTTTCTGACACATTCAATAAACCAGGTTACAGAGTCCATGCAATTCTTAAACTAAACAAAAATGAAATAAGTCTCACTGATTTCCCAGTAAATACTACCATAAACTATTCCAGACATTTCATTAATTTAACCCTGACCAACTTTTATGCAGTGATATGTTAGCACTTATATGGAACTGTTGTTCATTGGTCCAGTCACTTGACTGTCATCCAATGATTTACGGGGTTTAGACCTAGCTTCGTCTACTATGATTTCGGCCCCAGGTAGTATCATTAGTCCGCATACAATGGATGTGGCTCATTGTCTACCATTGTTCCCCTTTTTACACAAGAAAGCTATCTTTTCACTAAGTCATGAGAGTAATTTATTTTCCAACGAGCATCACTGATTCTCGCACTTCATAACCAACTGTTGTTCATTTTATTTACTAAATATTTTTTAACGAAACTCTAAAGAGGATTACTCAAAAATAATGGACAGTGTCTAGCAATGGAATCCAGGACGCGCACTTCTTTCTGTTTGAGACTCATCAGCCCGGATGTACCCGCCTCCAAGTGAGTGATGTTGTCCCCTCTAAAGCTCAAATCTGGAACTGATCGCTTCAAAATCCGTAACGTTATCCACTAAATCACTAGGCTGGCGGATAACGCTCTGGAGTTTGAAGCAATCGGTCCCGGGTTCGAGTCTTTGGGGAAGATCCTAGTAGCAGGGAGGTAGATCCGGCTGACGAGTCCCAAATGGGACGAAATGAGCGTCCTGAATTCCACTGGTAGCCGTAAGCCATCGCTAATGTCATAATGGTATGAATTCAATCCAATTGACTTTGTTCTTTGTTTTTGTCCTTGTTCCCACCATATCAATAAAGCCCCAATAAAATGCTGAAAACTTCTTCATTTGGAATCTAAAGTCTTAAAATGCCTTCACAAGAAAAAAATTGTGAACAGATAGTAAACTTAGATTTTGCAGTATCTTCTTTATACATAGACAAGTTCAGTTTTAATTATGAAATTTTCAGTTAGCATTAAAAGTTTGACTCCCACTGGTATTCACAGCAAATAAACTAATCATTTTTCGGGAAACGCTTTCACTTTATCACTCGTGTTTGGATAAATCAATTGTATTTATAGTTCAGAGTGTAAATATTTACTCCAAAAATGGTTATTTAAACGCCATTGAAAGCTGCTTCCTTGAAAGTGATTCCACAGAGTTAGACACTTGACAGTACCAACCACTGGATAATTCCAACAGCATACACAATCCAGCTTATCTCAAACTACCTCTCTTACTTTCTTTCGCTTCGCCTTCACTTCCTGACACCAACGGCAGATCTTTCAAAACGTTTTCAACCTCTCACCCTGAAATCATTTCTAAAGACTAACATGCGTTTCGAACCTGTCAGATGTAAGATGATGCTTCAGGACTGGTCTGCTACAAAACCAAATTTACGGATGCAGTGGTAGAATATATTGATCAATTCACCTACTACCATCAACCTGAACAGGTTGGTTAGTGACAAAATTTCAGCCTGTTAACCATTTGCCAACTTACGCCACTTCTGTAGTTGGCAACGCTGTCCGTTAATGGATAAGTACACTGTACTATTATTCGTTCTTTCCTGTTATACAGCTGTAATATGACCACTGAGAAAGAAAGATCTAAAAAAGTTAAAGATTTATGAACCCAGATGTCTTCACAGAAAAGCTCACATAATGTACAATCACTATGCGAACAGTGTCGAGGTTGAGTAAAAGGTACTAGGCAAAGCAAGAAAGTCAGACGATTAAGCCATTAACTTTCAACGACTGAGATGAATCGGACATATGTTGCGCATATATAATAACTGCCTACCTCGATGTATGATGCTAACCGAAGTAGACTTGTGTTGTAGGAAAACAGAAGGTGGACATATCACCATATGGTACTATTTCATGAAGTCTTTCACTGTTGACGTGTGCACATAGTCTTATGAAGGTCTTTGGGAATTACTGGTTGGAGACCGTTGATAATATGACTGAAAATAGGTTACAGTGACGCAGATATATTCATTACTTGGCATTTTCAGAAGTTTAGACATTTCCACTAACCTTCATTTTTGAAATATTTCCTCATTCTATACACCTTTATCTACTTTGATATCCACTTATTTCTTGGATACTGCTATGAAATGTGTCAGTTTGAACCAATACACTGATAGTGTTAGCATCTACGTTGATTTCGTCTGTCTCCGCTTGTCTGTTCTCTTGAACATTTTCAATTTAGACAGAAATTTCATGAAAATATCTCTGTCTAACTTTATATTTTTGTAGTCCTGTTTTGCTTTGTATTCGAAATAATATTATTTTATGCAAGTATCTTAACAACCAAATCCAGGCTTATAACAGAGAAATCTTATGAGTTACATCTTACCTAAAGTTGAATTGCATAAATTGAAGAATGGATAGTTCAGTGTATCCGATTTTGTCCATCTTTTCCTAGGACATGCACACTGAAGATCACTGTGAGTGTGAATAAAAAAATAAAGCCATTCTTTTTTAAAATGGTGCGTAAATACAAATAATTATTAAAATGATTGTTTTGAGTCAGTATTATACAAGATGATAACTAATAGTGACGAAGAATGTAAATTTATTACGACCAGTAGCACGACCTAATAGTCTACAAGTAATACGAACCTGAAACACAAACGAATCGACTGTAAACACTACTCATTACTTAAAACAAGCAACGAATGTGTAGAAAATAGGATTATATATATATACCGTTAAACAATGGAAAAGAACATACTTATACACATATATAACGCAGACTGAGACCGATTTAGGTAATATCTCTATCCCTACAAACTGGTTGAGAAAGCTTCTAAGTATTTGCACCAAGAACATCCAGTTCCAGTTCAACGGACAGTTATTCCGCCAAACTGATAGAGTCGCAATGGGAAGCCTTTTGGATCTCCAACCATGCAGCTCGTGAATCATAATTTGGCATAATTTACAAAATCAAATTACACTCATCGAAAAGTGAACACTTTTACTTACTGTGTATCGTAGAAGCCACCAGCACTATTTGCACAGAAACAGATTGTCCGGTTCCTTTCACTACCCTGGATCTAGCTAACCATTTTAACCACATGTTTCATACAACCAGCTCTTCTATCTCAATCCAATTTATTTTTATCACAGCATTTTCGCCTCCCTTGATCACTATCAGATGAGATCACATTTTGTCCGATTGATATCCAGATTTGTTGTTTCACCTAATCCTCTTCAATCAACTACTTCTAACTGAAGTCACGCCGTATTCATATACTCATTTCTATTCTGTGTTGTGTCTTTGATCTGTAGTCTCTTCTCTTTTTCAATTGATTTGATGATTATTATAACTACTATCCTTTGTACAAGAACCGACCATTGTGCTTTCATGGCACAGTGGATAGTAAGCTAGGTTTTGAAGCGATGGGTACGATGTTCGCGTCACAGTCGGAACAACATCCGCTCACTGAGGTGCAGGTACATTCAGCTGACTATTCCCAAGTAGGAGGGGGGAGGGGGGCTGGTCTTGGATTCTTCTGATAGCCACAACCAAAACAAATTACCTTGGTTTGGTGATTCATGAGAATATTATCCTGAATCATATTAATGAGCTTAGCGGAACACACACACACACACAAGCAAATTTGTTATTGTCCACGTCAAGCGATGTACAAATACGATTGTACAGCCTTTGAGAATGAAATCGTCACCGGGAGACATTTACTTCTTCGCTGAAATCTTTGTTTTACTAGAATAACTCGTTTGTACAGTCACTAATTTTCAGTCAACGCTAAAAGACATAATCTGTTATATCCTGATTTGAATGCCGAATAAGTTATCAACACATTCTCATTTATAGAGCTTATTGAATCAGGATATTCATTCGAATTTCAAGGTTATGAAAATTTCCATCATGTAAATTAGAATAAGACATATAAGCGAACAATATTCTTGTCTCTCTATTAGTGTTAGAATGTATTCCGATGGTTTGCTACAGAAGGAGTTGGAATGTATAATCGTAATTCATCGGTCGAAATAGGCTACCGTAACAATTTCATAAAAAGACGTATTGACAAATTGAGGGGGAACAAACCTGGAATTATTACCTTACAAAAGAAACCATTGTTCATGAAGTTGCAATTCAATGGAGATGTAGCCGGAAAAGTTTTATATCAGAGACTCTCCTAGAGCCGTAAGGAGGACTTTCTACACTGAACAACTCTGTCAATTATTTTCCAGTGGACCAGTTATTGTTTTTCAGATAAAAGATAGAGTATCTAGTTTTGCCATTCCTATATATATTTACAAGTTTAGTTGTTCCTATGGAGAAAGCTGTATAGGATGTACTACTGGACAACTTGATAGGCGTGTTGCCATGCGTCTACCTTCATGGTTGAGAAAGGGACATATAAAATCCATCAGAAGTTCGGTTTTATTTAATCTCAATGATAGTAGTCACTTGGTAGATAAGTACAATGCTTTCACGATTATTCACTGCATACCACATCATCTTTCGAAAGGTATTCGAACTCGTCAGTTACATCACATAGAAGGAGGCGTGAGAATTCGAGCTAATAATCCTAGTCTTTGTATGCGGGAGAAGTTTGTACATCTTTATCTCTCCACTGGCCGGGGAATACTTAATAAACAACATTATCGTCGAAATTTTTCCTACCTCTTTCTTCTTCTTAACCCCTTTTATATACTTAATGTATTTGTTTGGACTTCGTTTATCCATTTAACTCCTCCCTCAGCATCACGCAAATTTTATTTACCCAAGTTTTTGACTCACTTTGATTATCGGAGTGTCTACATTTTCATGCTGCTTTCTTGGTTCTTATCATCATCATTATCATGTATATTGCATGTGGTTTAGTCAAAGTTATCACTTTTATTATTTGTATCATTATCACCATCGGTATTTTTTTAAACATTCATTAACCGACAAATCAACATGTTTGGTTCAGTTTCATTTCAAAACTCAACTATTTCTGTTAGAGTAAAGCCTGAAGAGGGTCTAATTGAGAAAAATGTATTTGGCTTATGTTGTCTCATTCGGATTTGTACTTGGTAACTTTTACAACCTTACTCTGCCCAGGATTTGGGGATTCTGACTCACTGGTTTTGAGAAAACATTTTAGTCATCTATCCTTTAGTCTCATTCGATTAGACACTTAGACTTCAACTGCAAGATAACATTTGTAAACCTCATTTAAACTACTGGAGTTCTAGCATCCAGCAGTATCACAATTCTTCCACAATGTTTAGGAGCTAATTATTTAGCTTCAACTCGTAACAGAGACAGAGTTTCCGACTGAAATTTTTGTTGAATGAATAGGAGAGGATATCTGAATTTCTTCACTGAAGTTATAAGCTAAGATTTTTGTACAATAATAAATGTCCGGTGAAAACATTAATATAACTTGCCTTTGTTGGTTGTTTAACGACACTCCATCCTTGGTCATGACACATGTTCCTCCACTTCTCTGACAGGCAGCGCAGAAAGGCTTCAAGTCATCATTTACCCGGCGTACTACAAAAGAAGATGAAGACAGCGGTCTACAAAAGTTTTCCAGAGATAAGGTTGTTACAGAAATCACTTGTCATGCTAACAGATGGAATAATTCAACCACGTTAAAGAAAAAAATTGAATTTTGTTAGTGATAACACCATACAAGGCCACATTAATTTATCAAGTGAAGCAGAAAATAATAGTCAGCTTCCCTTTCTTGACGTGTTATTAACTAGAAGCAAAAATGGGTCGATAAAAAGATCAGTGTATAGAAAACCAACGTGGACTGGAGAGTATCTTAAATTTCATAGTTTCTGTCCAATACAGTAAAAATGAGGTTTAGTAAACTGTTTGTTCAAAAGCACTCAATGTTTCTACACAACAGATACATGGGAACAAGTCAAATTCTTGATAGAGACATTCATGGAAAAAGCATATTCGCTAAACTTCATCAATCGCTATAAAAAAAGTGTCAGTAGTGCGAACTGCTCTAAAGTTTTGAATGTTTCTCCGACTGATTTCACTTTATGGTGAATATCAGCCTAGAATCAATGAATAAATCCTTGCAATCTCCAAAGGGAACATTTAGGAATGTTTGTATTGAAACTCAGTTGAAGAATAGGGGATTACTATAATTTGAACGTGTAACAAAGTTCTTCTGGATTTGTAATTAGCAATTGATAAAATATTCAAGAATAAGATGGTTCTTGTGATACTCAGGATAAGTAAATGTGCTTCAATGTAAAGTTTCTCCAGTTACTTTTATTATTTCTTTCATTTTACTTGTCCCAAGGGATTCCTAGGAGCACATCGGGTTTCAGTAGCCCATCGCCATTTCACTAACTTCTCTGCAGTCTTCTCAACCTGGATACAACACTGCAACACAACCTTTCATTTCTTATTCACACATTCTCATACATACCACCATCAACTCCAACACCCAAATCGTCCTCTCACATGCCACTCCAAATCGACCCCATCGACTCACCTAACCTGCCACGTGATGTCACCAAACGGTCTACTCACTACATGTCCAATACAATCCAGTCCATCTCAAATCTCTTCTACTCCACATGTGTTGGCCAATGAGTTCCTTGTCGATTGGTTCGTTGCCACGACAGAGTCACTTCCTTCTTGCTCATTCTCATTATTCTGAACATCTGATCTCCATCTTCAGTATCGAATGAGTGTAGCTGGTAGCTGTTCATGTGATGTCTGTCTGTAGTTTGTTGGCAATGCTTTCCATAACACACCACCTCTCTCAACCATCACAGATGAGCACTGACTGACTTGACTGATATTAGTGTTGAAAATCGGGATGTTGTTCACGCTTTATGCTGAGTGGAGTGGAGTGGAGTGGAGTGGAGTGGAGTGGAGTAGATCTGCACACTGATTATTTCAGATTGATGCAGGAAGGCCTGTCTTGCTGTCTTTCCGATCCTGACTGGCTTTGACATCGTCATCTGTGCCTGTGCCGCCACCTGTAGTTGAGACGATGCTGCTCTGCCTATGTAGGTGTAGGTGAGAGAGACAACTTCCTTTAGATTTATCCGGTTGATGGTGATTGGTGCATCCTGTTGTTGTTGTTGTTGTTGTTGGTGGTGGTGGTGGTGGTGGTGGTTGGCTGTCTTCATCACCTCCATCTTCTCTATGTTCACCTGAAGGAATTCGCATTTTCCGTCTCTGCCTCGCCTCGCCTCACCTCACCTGTTCTGCCGACTTGCCACTTCTCGCCTGTACATCTTCAAGTTCACACCACATTAGATATCAGACATAAATCGTCATCATCATCCGGTTGATGGTGATTGGTGCTTCTTGTTGTTTGGATATCTTCATCACCTCTTTTTTTTCTACTTTCACCTGAAGGAAGTCCGTCTTCGCTGCCTCGCCTCTTCTGCCGACTTGTTACTTTTTGCCTGTAGATCTTCGAGTTTGTGTGACACTACACATAAATCATCGTAAGTGAAATCCAAATCTTCTAGGAGGAGATGATGCAGTTTGCCTATGGAGTGACTCCAAGCATTACACCTGCGTCAAATAAGGCTTTCAGATGATGATCTTCAAAGTAAGTGTATACTGGCATCAACATGCGTTTTTGTCCTTAATCCAAGGTTATATAAAGTTTAGACTACTTTTACAGATGTTGAATGATAACATTAAAAATTAGATGCTTATAGCGACTATACATTTTCATAAAAAGTTTGTAGTTCTACTCCCAAAAAGACTAACCTTTACGAGTAGTTTGAAAGGAAATCACAAGTGTACTGACTGTTCAGATGATGAAAGTTACTGTTAAAAATAAAAGTGTTAGTACTTACAGCAAGCAAGTTTTTGAAATACAAACTCATAACCACTGGGAGAAACACATGCACCAACTCCTGGATGACAGATACTTCCATGAATATGTGAACATTCCAAATCCATACGACAGTACAAATCTGTGATCACTGGGGGAAAATAGCAGAGAAAAATAACTATAAAGCTATCGTATTGGTCAACATGACTGGACAATATAATATCTTACTTAAAATTCTTGTGAAATACAAACATTTCAGAGAAACTGTTTGTACATCAAAAAACACCCCGAAAATAGGCAAAAGTGTTATATCAGTGGTAGTAGTCCTCACAGGATGACCCCAGGTGAAGAACCTGGGAGCACTGCACAGCTTTTTCATTCTGTCATGGGACTCCTCAGTAGTGCGCACTCATGGCCCTGCTAGGGACCAAACCCGGCACCTTCAAGTACCACTATTCTGTCACTGGGTTCAGTGGTTCACTATTTTCCTAATTCTGGTGATTTGAAGCAAGGCCCCATCATCATCCGATGTCATCGGTGAGTATTTGTTCTGATTGTCAACTTTGTTTGCTTGATGGCTTCTTAATAGAACTTTGCGGAACCCGTCTCAATGCATTTCAATGATGAGCATTATACAATGTTTCAGTTTGGAGAAGTCCCATATCAGGACAATGCTCCCAGTTTTTCAATAATTTTCTAACTGATTTCAGTCCATGAAGAATACTAGCTTGAAGTCTAACAATCTTTACAAACATTCAAACTGAAATAAACTTATTGTAACCGTTCACAATTCACAAGCAATCGAAAGTCATTTAATCCCTATAAGAATACAATTCAATGTAATTACAGTATTTCAAGTTGTTATTCGTCGTAGACTGACATCAGTTGGAGGAACAAAGGAAACCTGGGAGCACTGGACAGCTGTTCCGTCCTGGTTTGTGACTCCTCAGCAGTGCGCACCCACGACCTCACGAGGGACCGAACCCGCGACCTTCGGATCCCGTGGCCAGCGCGTTACCATTGAGCCACTGGGTCAGGACCCAATGGTCCATATTTCCAACTTCTGTTGGCTCACGATGAATAGCAACTTGAAATATTTGCAAATCTCCACAGCTCCCTCAAAATAATCCCAGTGTGTTTAGGATCCTACTTTCATTAAGACCGATGATTTGTCAAGTAATAAAGATATTAAAGTGATTCATTCTGATTTCGTTAGGGTTAGCAGAAACAGGCTTCTGATTTGCTATGATTGTCCCGACTTTATGACTTACTGCATCTGCTTCTTCTTTCAGTATAAATGATAAAACTAGTTGTATGATTACTGTCTATTCCATCATTTCAAAAGGCTTTTTGGGTAAAGTGAAGTTAGGCTGTTTCTTCAGTAACATCATTTCATGATGATTCATTTATTGATTTAGATAAATTGTATACCACTATTGTTTTTCTTGAATCGTTTTTTCGACCTGATTCCGACTTGCTGGAACCGGTTAGACGTTTGAATTTCAAAATGCATTTTGATGATTAAATCAAACTCGGCGTTCAACTTCTTCCAAGATATTAGTAACGGCTGTGATCTGAGTGCTTAGACAGTCATTTAAATTGTAACTTGTCAGAGATAGTTACTAAAATACTGTAATCCGAGTAATCTTGATGCCAGGAAAATCAAGCAGTAGAAGCAACAGCTTACTGTGGTTTACTGATTTCACCTATCACATACGGACCACTCGTTGGGTTTTTGGTAATTTTTTCACACTACTTTTTTGTTGATAGTAGTCAATGAATTGATATATGATTATTTTTAAATACTAAAAACCATACCCGTCGCACAAGTGGCTATCGTGACTCGGTGTAGTGGAAAACGCTGCGGCGCTTAAAGCGAACGCTCCCGAGTCCGTACCCCGGTGGGAACAACATCACTCACTGGTAAGCAGGTACATCCAGCTGGCGAGTCCCAAATAGGACGAAGTGCGCATTCTGGATTCCACTGCTAGCCACTATCCACCATTAGTGGTCAACAAATGTTCAAGATAATCTAGTAGTCAAATGACTACCAACTTTCAATGATTAGTGTTCAATTCCGTTTGCTCCACTATTTAGCGTCCTCTTTTACCAGAAAGTGGATGTTTGTTTTTGGGTGCTTAACTAATAGATAACTGACAGTTTTCAATAGCATGTTGTTTTTTCACATAACTGTTACCTATAGGTGCCATTATAATACTATCCTGAAAAGGTAAAAAGGCTGTAGCGTCATACACTTCCCCAAAATCAATAGCCTAGGGTTTGACGACTTTCGACATTGATGCTGACCTTGATAGTTTAACTGGACTCGCTAAGCTGAAGGCACCCGGTCAAGCATCCTCGCCATTTGGCACGCTGTCGTGTTACGTTGCATTGCTCGTATTCGACTCTCTAGCCAGTTAGTTGGAACCCATCGGTATTTTGGCACAACCATCCAAATATACTGTTCCATCCGACTACGCTATCGTGTTCTTCCTTGGTCTCGTATCGTGGGTATATAAGAAGTCGGATAATTAGTGATTGGTCTTTGCGTCTGTCAAGTTCGCACAAGGACAAATCCTAAAAGGCTTTGATAGTGGTTTGGTGCCATCTGAGCTTTGATACTTTGTCGTGAACGTTTTACCACCGGTCATGACAGCATATCAAAACATAGAGAACACCAAATCACCATCATCCTCATCCTGAGTTAGAAATTGTTTCCATCAATTAAAAATCTTTACTATCAGTTTCCAAACCCTTATTTTTGACCGTAGACTGATCAGATTGGTCAATAGTAAGAGAAGTACTAGAGGTGAAACAAAAGTGGTTAAATCAAATTCAGTTTTGATTATAAATCAGGAGATCAGTGAAAGAATTGTGTAATAATCGAAATAGCAATGAGAAGAAGATACGTCAACACTGAAGTAATATTTGATTGCTAAGTTAAACGGTGTAAAGAGACTGGTGAATGAAGTGAAAAATCAGGAATCGAAGGGTGTAAGAATGTAATTTGTGAGAAATAGTGAAAAAGATTTTGAAGGTAAGATATTCTTATAGGTTATGTCTATTGCAACTCAAGCGACTAGGCAAATTTCTTTTTGATGCAGAGTTTAGGCAGCTAAATATTAATTGTTGTGGCTTGCATAGTTTGAAGAAGTTTCAGGTAGACACGGTGTGCTAGACATCTCGCCATTTACTTACTTCACATAGTAAAGGCGATTGCAGCCTACATGTACAAAACCAGTCTTTGCATTCAAAGTAAATTTGTTCTATGGTAGTCATTACCGCGGCTGTCAACATGATGTAACTTCTAGTATTATTTTGTACACTTCTTTCCCCTCTTTTTCCATCATGATTCATTCACTATCTTATTCTTGGACACTCAAGAGCACTCAAGAGCACCACTCAAGAGCAATCACTTCATTCACCCTACCGGTTAATAAGCAATTCGCTTATAAATAATCTGTTTCATACTATTATAACTAGCTTTTTTTAATCCCATATAATTACTCTGTTGATTATCTACAGCATTTTGATTTCTCCTATAAATGGCATTATCAGACAGTAAGATTATTCATCAACTCCTAGTTGTTGTGTATGATAGTAGTATCGTCTACTCAACCCCCACGAAAACTGAAGTTTTGTAATCTGCCTTCAATTTTCAGTGGGTAAAGTTGGCGCACGAATATTTAATGACACTGCTAATACTTACTGTCTATTTATACTGTTACTTTTTTCAACTTAGAGGTCATATTTGAAGAAAGCAGTTTTATCTTAAATTCCTTACCTTGTAAAAATGCGTAATTGTAGTGTGCTACATAGTGTTTAGCTAAAATGAATTATCTCAATGAAAAACACTTATTGGGTTGTCGAAGGCAAACGTCCAAATGATACACCTGTTATACCTATGACCGGATGACAAATAACAAACTACTTTACGAGAGAATAGAGATGAACAGCGAACCAATCATATATGATCCATTCATCAAGCACTCCTAGTGGCGAAAACTTTTCAAGACATCGACGCTGTCTGAACTTTGTAAATTTTGGTAAATACATTATTAATCCAATTCTGTTGCATACAGAGTTATGCTCTCACTAAATGACATGTGTAGTCTTAGAATAGGCTTCGCCCATGAAAAATGGCAACTGTTTAAGCATAAAGAAAGCAACACTTCGCTTGTTATATTCAGTTCATTGTCACTGAAAGTGAAGTCATAAAAGCACTTCAAAGAAACCTATTGTCTTTTATTTATATATAAGTTTTATGGTAGAATACAATTGAGATAAACCTATGAATTAGAAGATGGTTAAGGAGAATTAGCGATTTTGGGTTGCAGAGTAAAGTAAAAACAAGATGGAAATTGAGATACTAGTGTTGATAGGGAACCTTCACACTCGAATAGTTACTCATACTTCATATCACCTTACCTTACGTCAGTTAGAGTAGGTTAGTTAAAGTGTCTAAGTAACAGGGCCAAAAAACGTACTAGCTAAATAGAAGATTCAAGACAAGAAATCATATACATTAAAGACACATTATTATTATTTGTCCTTTGGGCTCCTAGTGGAATATAGGGCTTCAGTAGCACGCCTCCATTCCACTCTGTTCTCTGCTATCTTTCGAATCTGGCTCCAAGACAGCCCACAAGCTCTCATTTCCTCCTCACATGATCTCCCCATGCCACCCTCGGACGCCCAACTCGTCGTTTCCCCTTTAGATTCCACTAGAGGGCCTGGCCTGACGAGTGATGTCCCCAAATGGTCTTCTCAGTGCATGCCCTATCCAATCCATCTCTACTTCCTCCCAGTTCATCTTTGTTGAGTGATAGGTTCTTGGTTGGTTCACTACCCGGTCGGAGTTCCTTGTTACTTATTCTTTCTGGCCATCTGAGCTTCAGTAACGAGCCAGGATAGGCAGTTGTTGATGAATATCTGTAGTTTGTTGGAAATGCCTTTCGTAACGCGCCAAGTCTCCGAGCCATACAGAAGCACTGACTTGACGTTGGTGTAGAAAATCGGGATCTTGTTCTGTGTGCTGAGTGCAGAAGATCTCTACACTGGTTTGAGGTTAATGAATGCCTGTCTTGCTGTCTTTCCGATTCTGGCTGCTGTGACATTCTCAACTGTGCCTGTGCCGCCACCTGTAGTTGA